TATCCCAGCAGATGCAAAGTGAGGATTTAGCTACTAGGCTACCACGCCAGGCCCTGCTCATCAGTTTTTTAGGACTGATCTGACAGGCAGTGTGAAGAGAGTAGACAGATTTTTCACCCACAGGTTTACTCCCTAAGGGACTGCAATAGGCAGGACTGGGTTTGACTCGAGCCTGGATCTTGAAACTCCACAAGGGTTTCCTTCATGTATTTGGATCTGCTGCTTTCTCAGGAGCGTGAGCAGGAAGCTGGATCAGAAGTGAAGCAGTGAGGACTCAAATTGGCACTCTGATATAGGATGCCAACGTCACTCTAAAAGTGGTGGCTTAACCTTCTGTGCCACAATATCAGCTCCCTCTTTCTCTGAATCTTTTTCCTTCAGTACTTGACAGGGCCGCAGAGGTTGCTTCAAAGAGCTTCCATGGCCACTGAGCTGTGAAGGGTGCTAGGGATGGAGGGACACCCTCTGTTTTAAACCCAGGGGCTCTGTCATGGCTTCAGCATATTCTGGGAATATTTCATTGGAACAATGTTTCTAGGTGAAAAGATCTACAAAACCTGAGACTGTGCTCTAGATCAGGCTGCTGTATTGTTCTCACAGATACCCCTTCCTTGACTCTCGCATGATTGGGCAGGGGGTAGGTGTTCAGTGGAGGTCAAGTCGCACAGCCTGTTAGGGACAGAGCAGGAGTTTCCAGCTGTGGTCTTTTCCTATGCTCACTGGACAAGGCTGTAATTCTTTTTTTCCTGCCTGCCCCTCCCCACCTCCCGGCTCTCTCCAGCCCATCATCTTCGTTTCCGACAGAGCAAACAGCAACAAGGAGCTGTGTGTGGACCAGGAGTCCGAGGGCAAAGACAAATCAAGCCCTGATAAACAGGAGCCGTCCCCACAGGTTTCTCGGCATGTGACAATGCATGGGGCGGCCAGCGTTACAACAGGGGTGCTTGTGCTCTTGGGGTACCTGGAACTGGAGGAGTTCACAGGGCAGTGGTGTGGGGGGAGGGCGAAAGTCTAACATTTACAAGTTTGGATTTGTCCATTTCTGAAATCTCAAAATGGGGATGCCCCTTTAGGTTTGGCTGGTGGTCTCTTGTACATGTACATACATGCCCACCCCAGGATAGGAAAAGGAAGCCACACCTCCACCCTGCAGCTTCTGCAACCAGAACAGTGAGAGGGGAGAAGGGCTGAGCCCCAACAGCTTCAGTCTCCAAGCTCTTTTCTGCAAGGTTGCAGAGAAAGGGGACTGATGTCAGCAATGGGGAGGCAGGGGAGGGTGGAATGGGGAGAGGCTGTCATAGAAAGCTTAGTGAAGGTTGTCTTAAGGGGCAACATTCCCCGGAGATCCAAAGCCGCCACCTCTGACCTGGAGCGCCCAGGTCTGGCTTCTCTTTTACCCCCAGAGATGTGGCTTCTCTGGTCCCAGGTAACTGGAGGAATTGGAATAGTCAGATCACCACTTGGAGGACATTCAGCTGCAGTGGTGGGGCTAAAAACAGCGGGGAAGTCCCTGGCCCAGGGATGCTGAGGGGGCCCAGGGGACTGTCTGCATGTCTCCTGTGTCCCCTCAGCCTGCAGTGTGGGGCAGGGCTGGGGAGGGGCTGTTCTTGAAGGCTTAGGAGACTCACTGCAGAGCGGCAGCTCTCACCGAGAGGAGCACTTTGCCCTGTACTGGCTCGTGCCACCCCCATGGCTGCTCTAGGTACTGGGGCTCTGTCCAGACCCCAATTCCTGGAATTGGTCTTGCTTTGTACATCCACAGCCACAGCCTGGCAATACTAACTGGGAAAGTGAAGAGCAGCAGCAGTTCCGGAACATCTTCAAGCAGATAGCAGGTGATGTGAGTACCTGCAGCCCTGGCTTCTCCCGTTCCCTGCTTCCGCGACTAGCTGCCGCACTGCAGTCCGGAAGAAGGCATCCTTCATCTCAGTGGAAACGGCATGGCCATGTGTCCGTCCTTGAGTTGCTGACTGGACATGTTCACTGTGCAGCTCATAAGCCCTTCCATCCAGGGCTGTACTATCCAAACAGCTGAGGGTGCAGCATTAGAAAGCCCTTACTTCCTGGGATGGAGGAAGACAGGCAAGGAGTTGGCCAGCATGGTTGCCTGGGATTGGCTGCACAAAGTTCTTTCTCATTCCTCAGGAAATGGAGATCTGTGCAGATGAACTCAAGAATGTCCTTAACACATTGGTGAAAAAAGGTGTGTGGCTCAACCTGGCTGGGGGCGTGGCATGCTGGGTGCCAGGGCCAGGGGCCCCGGAGCCATGACTCACCCTCTCCATGCCCTCAGATCAGGACCTGAAGATGCAGGGGTTCACACTGGAGTCCTGCCGAAGCATGATCGCACTCCTGGATGTATCCTTCCTACTGCCCTTTTCCCCACCCTGTTACCTCTCTGTGGGGCCCAAGGCTGGGGTACAGGGTTCCGTCAGGCAGAGGGCCCAAATGTATGCCCGAGGAAAGGCCTCAAGAGAGTTGAATTAGGATGCCCTGCAAGGACTTCTTAGGGGCAGAGATAAGGGCTTGGGGCCCTGATAGCAGAAATGATCATAAGGCAAATGGCTCTGAATGTCAGAGCAAGAAGGAACCTCAGTGTGTAAGAGACCCCAGGTGGAGGGTTCCAGGGAGACTTCACTGTGTACCCTCTAGCCCTGAGCTCCCTCCTGCAGACCGATGGCTCTGGAAGGCTGAACCTGCAAGAGTTCCATCACCTCTGGAAGAAGATCAAGGCCTGGCAGGTGGGAAGGGAATCGGTATGGCAGACGAAAGAGGGGTGTTCAGGGATTCAACATGTGACCTCTCCTTACCCCCTCAATTTCTATGACCAGAAAATTTTCAAGCGCTATGACACAAACCAATCTGGAACCATCAACAGCTATGAGATGCGGAATGCCGTCAATGATGCAGGTGCAAGGGGAGATGGGTAGCAGGGATGTGGGCTGAGCTGGTGGCAGTAAGAACAAGGCTGTTCCCTGCTAGCTTGCTGTGTTCCTCTCCCAGGCATCAGTGGCCCAGACAGTGAAAACAAGCCACATGGGCGGGCTCCCGCCTCTCCCGTTCTTCCCCATAACACTCCCCTTCACAGGGTTTCACCTCAACAGCCAGCTCTATGACATCATCACCATGCGCTACGCAGACAAGCACATGAACATCGACTTCGACAGCTTCATCTGCTGCTTCGTCCGGCTGGAGGGCATGTTCAGTAAGTGGAGAACGGCCCTCCTGCCCTCGCACCCTCCTCCCTGGGATGGTGGGCATAGTAGCACTGTCTGCCCCATTACTCTCCCATGCAGTCTGTCTAGGTTCTCTTTGGGCCCAGAACAGAGTGGCAAAGGGAGGGTTACTGGCGAGCATGCACCTGTAGATACCTGTGAGGGAGGGCAGCCATAGCTCACAGACCGAGGACAAGCTGCTGTGGAGGTAGGGCGAGCCTGTAACTGGCATCTGCCCTGTTAACTCTTCCACACAGGAGCCTTTCATGCATTTGACAAGGATGGAGATGGTGTCATCAAACTCAATGTGCTGGAGGTAAGGTGTTAACCAATGCAGCATCTCCCCTTCAGCCCTACACCTTACCTTGCAAGGTGGAGGACTCGACAGGCAGCCTGGATCCACCACGTCTCCTCACTTCCAAATGGTGGTGGAGGGATGGGACAGGAAAGGACCTGGAGGATGAAAGCTCAACAGGGAATGTGGTTCACAAGGCACTGTGTAGTGGGGCAAAGTTTGTAAATGGGCTAGTTCCGAAAATGACCTTGCTGGAAAAGTTCTATTTTCCTAGGGAAGATTTGAGGGGACAGGATGCAGTAAACCACTGCTTCTCTAAACCTTTCTGGTATCTGGCATGTAGGGACTGTTCCCTTTTCCCCTGCCCCACAAGACCCTTAGGCAGAGCTGTGGGAGTTCTTTTCCTATGTTCTGATCTTGGGACTTGCTCTTCCAGTGGCTGCAGCTCACCATGTACGCCTGAACCAGGCTGGCCTCCACCAAGGCCATGCCAAGATCACTCAGGATTTAAACTGCACCCAATACAGTTAGAGCCACTTACCTCAAAGGACCCAGCAGCTGCAGCCCCTGACACATCTCCAGGTGCCTCATCGGTCTTGCTCCTTCCTCCTCCACTCCCTACTCAGCCTGGATGTGTCACGCCCAGCATAACCCCACAGTAAAGCAATGACATTGAGAGAACAGGTCTGTCCCTTGACCACATAGACAAATGTCTGCCTCAGCCAGCTGCAGCCAGGCTGAGGGGCTGGCTCTACTGCTGAGCTGCTGTAGCTCCAATATCAAAATGCCCTGCTGGCTTCACTCGGCCATCTGCATTCTCCTGCTGCAGCGCTCCAGGCTCTCCCAGTCATGGATCAGTAACCAGATGAGCAGCTCTTAGTTCTGATTGTTTCAGGGTGGGCCTATACGTGGTACACTCATTCAGCGGAACAGGGCCAGACACCTTGGGTTTCTGGACTCCTAAGTTTGGCTGCATTCTAAAACAGTTGCTCTCTAAATAAAAGCATTTGTATGGCTGGTTCTACTGTGTTTTGTTTTCTCACACCAGCCTTAGGGCTTCTGAGCATACACTCAACCTATCCCCTGTAGAAAGCCCTAGATTTAGCACAAAATGGAAACGCAAAAGCAAAACTCCAAGCCCCACTTTAATTATGCCCATTTTTGAGCAGAGTAATCACTTGGATACTTGTCCTGATCTTGTAAGGAAGAAAAAGTGGTTGGCAATGTATAGAACATTGCCATCAAATGGTTCACCCCAAAGCAGTCGAGCTAGTTCCCACAGTGAGATGAACAGGGGATGCTCTTTCGGGCCCTGGCTTCTGTGATCATCAACCTCTTGATGCTGGACAAAACGTTGAATACAGCCGTTTACCAAACTTATCAAGACTCCAGTCTGTGGCACATCTGTAAGTATCCCCTCCTTGCCTCTTAATGCCAGAATAGAAAAGGACGGACTATCAACAGGCAGACAAGGAAACAAAAGTAAACAGTCAATTAATAAAAGTACTTTATTTCTCTTGCATTTGCTTTATATCTCCCTTTACAAAGTTATGAATTTCACAGCTTTATACCAAAAGGTAAGAAGGGTAGGCTATTTGCTTATAAACATTTTTAAAGTCGCCTGGTTCTGTTCTTCTCATCCATATTCAATATTAAAAAAAATCAGAAACCAAAGATGCTGGAGCAGCTCTAGGACAAAAGATCTTCAACAGCCCTTCCTCCTGACCTCTGCCTTCCTTATGGCTGTGAATTCAGAGAAAACTGGGGGCACTGCAGGTACCCTGTTACCCAGTAGGGCCACACTCTGGGGCCTGCAGGTGAGAGGCTGTAGGCGGTTTGGGTTACCGGAGGATTTCCCATCCACTTGAACATGGAGATCGGCGGCGACTGTCGAAACCACCTCCCCACAGCTTCTCTACCCACCTCTCACACACCCTGCAGAGCCTAAAGATTGGGGCAGGGACGAAGCTACCACTTTACAGACGTGGCAGGCAAGGCCTTCGTAACAGGAACAAAATATAAAACTCCTAAGTATATATAAACTACAGTTATCTGACCAAACCAGAGTGCGTACTGTTCAAACGTAGCTCATTCTCTCCTCCAAAGAATGCCGGGCCATTCCACTACATGTACCCCTTCTTCCACCAAGCCATCCACATACCCAGTCACTAACATCGTCCACTGCATCATCTACCATGAAAAAAAAAACCCAGAACAAAACCCGTTAGGCAAATAAGTACCTGAACAGTAATAACATTGCCTATAAACTACAGGTAGATCAGGAGCTAGATACTCAATTGCTCACTTCTCTGAGAGAGGAAAACAGTTTTACCCACCAAAGCAGAAGCATGGTAGGAAGTAATGACTTTTTCTCACCTTCAGGTAATATCAGGTCACGGTAATCATTCTTTGTTTGAATTGTGGTTTTTGTTTTGTAACTGAGTAGGAGTATCCAAAAGGATATTTTGAAAGTAATTAAAAATGTTTGCAAAACTTGAAGTGACATAATTTATCAGAACTGCCATTAACATATGAGCATATGCACACAGAATGAGATTACAGATTCTGTGAATTTCTTGGCTTTGACCCCTTGGGTAGGCACAGACAGTTGTTAAAGAAATGTGTTATATGACAGATGCTTTCCTCCTTTAAGCTGCTTTAAATACCAGCGCGGGTGCAGAACCCTAGGCCTGGCTCTCCTCTGAGGGAAACAGGGCTGTCAGCAGCTTTGCATGTGGAGGATTAAATTGGCAGCCATGTTCTGCAAAATTTTCAAGAAGCTCACAGATAATAACCAGGAGCAGCCAAGGCGCTTACAGTCCCTCTGCTTCTCCAGGTACGATAAGAGTGGTTTACTTGGTGTGACACAGGAACCTGATGCTGAGAACATTTTCACTGGTTCTTAAAACAGACATTACTGCTACTTTTTCAAAGAAAACTCCGGTGAAATTACACACACAGGATTCCCAAAGCTACACTGTTTTCACCCTGTCAGTTTCTAAATTCCTCAAGAATGCCCCTGTGACTGCCTACCACCTCACCTCACCACTCCCAAAGGCCCGAGCATTCACATGGCACCAGAGGCACTCGGCAGCACAGCAGGGCCCCTCCACGCAGGACACTCCAGGCCCTTCTGGCACAACACCCACCCATGTGCAAATGTAGTTTCCTGCAACCCCAAGGGCCAGACTTGGCAATAAATTCACACATATTACCCAAGAAGTCACCACTCCCAACTTCACCAACTTGGCTTCTGTGGTCATAGGAAATGGAGGTGAGAGAGGTGTGGAAAGCTACTAAATCCCATTCAGAACCGGCACAGACACACTTCCAGCAGCAAGGTCCTGGTCTTCCTTCCACATCCCGTAGATCTCAGCAGAGTGGCTCACGCGGGGCCATCTGTCACCCAGCAGCAGCTCCTGAGTTAGTCTGCACCTACTTTGAATGTAGCAGGAGACACAGGAGCTTGGCTGGAGAGAACACACTTAGTCCTGTAGGAAGTTTCAGGGGTTCCTGGACCTTCCTGAGGCCTGCTCCTGAATCCCTGGTGAAGGCTTCTACCCCAGCACCTGTGAGAAGTCAGGGAGGGGGGCACTGAGGGGTGTAAAAGGTGGGGCTCACCGGATGGTATGCCACCAGGAAATGGGAGCCCTCATATCCTTTAAGCCTGGGATGAGCCACAGGGCTGCCTCCCCTGAGTTTCTCTATGTCTCTGGAAAAGAATTGCAGTTTGGCAGATCTGGAAACCAAAGGCTGCAAAGTAATGCCTGCACTGCTTGACTGGTAAGAGTCCAGGAAAAAAAAAATCCCCAAACACAGCAGTCCCATTAGGATTTGGTGTTTTTCTTGAAAACAAGGAAAATATTCCCTTCACTCCACTCCATTCTTATTACCCAATTTGCAGGCAAGTATGGGCCAAGACACGGACTTCAAAAATAAGTCCAGAAAGCATGCTTGAGGCCCTAAAAATTATACTCAGGCATCCAACCACTCCCCTCCCCACTTTTGGGTGCCACAGGTGGACCCCTTACTGGTATCTAGGAGTACCAGAGGGTCTCATCAGTCTAGGCAGGGCAAGACAGGGGGAGAAACAGGGTGACAAGCAACCCCAAAGGTTTCAAACCCGCATCAGGCCCACACTAGGCTCCAGGAGTCAGGAACTACAGAGGGAAACAGAGGTTCCCTCTAGGTCAGAGCACAGCAGGACTGTGGCTGCCTGGGCCAGGTCTTCGTGCGGCCCCCCAGGGCGCTGAGAGTCCATGGAGTTGGGCTGTCTCCGAAGACCTGCTGCTCCGGGAGCTGCTCCCTGAATTCCTGTAACAGCCAGCACTCACTCACTCTAAGGATCTGTCAAAGTGTATCTTCTAGCGTTTTAGACAGCTCGTTCATTTACAAAGCAAGAAAACACACTGCACATAATTGTAGGGAAGGAAACTACTTGCTTCCAATTTAAATGCTCAGTTTTTCTGAGTCATTGAAACCGATCCTGAAAATCTAACATTTGGACAAAATTTTACTTAAAAGCCTAACTACAAATTTAAACCATAAGAACATAGCTAAAAATCACAAACTTAAATCAACAAAATGTAGGTATGATTACGGTCAAACTGGGTAACCAATAAAGATCTGAACTTTTAATAAACAACTGGAGATTCCTGGCAGCATAAATTACAATATTCACGCCACCCTGGAGGAGTGTGATTCCTTAAAATACACTTAAATCTGTTTAAAATCTGCAGCCAGAACATAAAGGGTAACCTGTCATTCCATAGAGCTTCCCAGACTCACGTCAGTGGTAAGCCTGGCTGGTCGCCACTTTCCCCTTCCTAACTACAAGCAAGAAGGGAAAAGTGGCATGTGAAAGGGGCTGAGCTGGAAATAGTCCCACAAATGACTTCCCAACATGGGAGGCAAAAAGCTTCACGGATGGATTTTGCTGTCATCTTCAGCATGTCGTTCAATGTGTCCTGCAGCATCCTAGGGAAAAAGGAACAAGAGCCTATGAGAGAAGAATTGGTGGTAGGACAAGACAAGACAAAGTCCAAGCCAAGGGCAGCCCTGTGGGTCTAGCCTATCTGGGATCTGCACAGCGAAGGCTGTCGGGAACCAGTACCTGGTGAATTTACATAAAAATCTGCTCTGAAAGGTGAGCTCCGGCCTGTGCACAAGAGCTCTGCAATAAACCTCCAGGTTTGCATGCTGGGTTTGAGACAGCTGGAAATATTTTAGGTTTTTTTCTCAAAAAACTACCCAACTCTTCACTGAAGACCCGAAGTTGTACCCCAAGTGTCTAAATAATAAAAATTTCTAGGCCCTCCTTCTTTATTGTAACTCTGTACATTCTTAACAAAGTGACAAAGATTTGCCAGTCTCCACATTGAGCAGTCATCTACACCTTATGAACCCACTCAGGTACCTGCTTGGATCCTTTCCTGGCGGTGAAAAAAGCATCGCAGTTCTTCCACCGGCATTTTAGAGTTTGAAAGTTTGGATTAGTGTGGTCGGTCAACAGGTGTTGCTTTAAATGATCTATTACTCCAAATATCAGAGAGCAACCATGCCACTGGAGGGATGACAGACAAGATCAGGTTAAAGAGCGTCTTCAACGAGCAGTCAGAGCCTCCCTCGCTTGGAGCCTGTACATTCTGTACAACAAAAAACAAGCCCTTGTTCACTGATTTATTTTAAGCTAGAGAATAGAACAGGGACTGGAGTTGTGGCACAATGCATTAAGTTGCCTTGTGTGATGCTGGCATCCCAAATGTGACCTAGGTCAAGTCTTGCCGCTCCATTTCCAATCTAGCTTCCTGCTAATGCGCGTGGGAAAGCAGAAGATGACCCAAATACACGAATCTCTGCATCCACATAAGAGATCTGGAAAAAGCTCCTGGCTCCTGGCTTAGGAGTGGCCCAGATCCAGCTACTTCTAGCCATCTGAGGAGTGAACCAGGTGATGAAAGATCTCTCTCCTAATTCTGCCTTTCAAATTAATAAACAAATCTTTAAATAAATAAAAACAAATAATTTGACGAGGAGATAAACCAAACCATCAATGCTTACAGTCTCTGACACAACTGGAAGCAGTATATAAAAATAAAACTATCTACTTTTTTATTTCACGTACTTCTATTTTGCTGAAACTTCTGAAGGCATGTGCTAACTTTAATCAAACAAACCACCTAGGAGACAGTATGTCAGACATTTCCATGTACCTTGTAACAGATTTAATTAAGTGGAAGGCATTAAATAGGTGCTCACATGTAAAAATGGTGAGCTAAAAGTAAAGAAAATCTGTAAGTAGGTCTAGAGTCAAGCAATTCTAAGGTCTGGTGAGAAGAACATCTTCACTCCTTACCCAACAGCGGTAATTCTGCATCAGATTCAGTCTCACAGCCTGAATGCTGCCATCGTAACAGCCAGTGTAAATCTATAAACAGAGGTTTAAGGTTAAACCAAAATCTACACAATTGCACAACACCCTCAATATAAGAGCTCAGAACAACTTTTAATAGCTATAGGAGGACATAATTCTAAACACGACCAGCTCCCAAGTACTAATATGGAATAGCAGTTTCTAGGACTTCCCATCTGACAACGTGAAGCTGTCCTCATTGGAAATGTGGCTGAGAACAAGAGCAGGACTCAGAGAAAGCCGCCTCTACCTGAGCTGCTATGACTCGGGCTTCTAATGGACTCAGTGTTTCGTGGCAAGAAAAGGATCTACTACAGAAACATTAGAAACCTGCATCTTGGTTCAACTCTGGTATTTCTTAAAATAAAATCGGGCTTATCAGAGTTCAGTGAATTAGCTTTTACTTATACGTCTGCTATAATTATACCACACTAGCCAAATCTAATACCATTCCAATGTTCCATTCAGATCATGGTGTCTCTGGAAAAAAGATCACTTTTTAAATATCTCCTATTTGATAGTGATATTAAGATTGATATTAAAATATTATTTGCTATTAAATAGGAAACAGAATGTTCAACAATGCCATTGAGTTACTTCACAGCATCATTACTGCAGGAGACAGATATTCAATGAGCTGGCACATCAGAAACTGAAAGTGATAGGCAGTAATACTCCTGTCAATATAGAGACTTTTAAGTGAATATATTCTATGACTTGGCCGTTTTACTCACCACACTCTTATGGATGGTCATGCACATAATCATGTCTTTGTGTCCTCCATAAACTTGCAAGCGATCATGAGACTGAGGCAGAAGGAAAAAAGAGAGAACCGAGGTTATCTGTGTTTGTGTTTAACAATAAGCAGTCATTGAGGGCCTTTTGTGAGGTTTTTAACCAGACGTGAGCCACTAAATTGAAGCACTAGGAACATTGTTAACAGAATTATATTCCAATGGCAATCTGCCTAGTAAGTTCCATTCCTCAAAGGGGAAGCTGGTAACCAGAAATAATAAAACCAACTTGTTTAATATCAAACTTCAAACTGCACATAAGGACATAAGGGGACATTTTCAGAGTCTGAGTTTTTCTCCAGGAACAACTGAGGCTTTGCCACCTGCAAGCCTGATCAGTATCTTCAGAGCAGTCTGACAAGGGTATAATCTATGGGCAAGCTGTTTCATAATTAGCTAGAGTATTTATGAAAATGCAGATTCCCGGGATCCACCCTCCCAACATTATTGCATCAAAAATCAAACCCCCAAAAATCAGTGCTCCAAAATGGATTCAATCAAAATAATCAATCTAAGTTATACCTGTAACTCATAGACTCGAACAAATTTATCCAGGCAGGCAGTCACCATCACTTTCCCCAGGATGTTCACCACTGTCACTGCATGATTGTGACCTTTATAGATCCGCACAAGCTCACCAGTCTACGTCAGAAGAAAGGTTAGGTGAACAGACTGTCCCCCAAGATTCTGTGCTGCTCTGGAGATCTGTCATTCTGTAAGTGTAAGAAGCATAACTCCAAGGCCATCAAGACACATGCATAGCTGTTTTAATTTTAACAGCTGACGGGCTCCCACAAGCAATTATTATGCATACAGAAAATATGCAATGGATCCTGAGAGAAGCTGAGGTCACAGGAAGGGAAGGGGGAACACGTTTGCCTATTTTGCAGCTTTCAAAGGACAGGTCAAACATTCCTAATCTGATGATCTGAGACACTCAGAAATCTGAACGTTTTCAACTAACAACATCCTCAGGTGATAGATCATAAAAAACACTAAATGCATTAAAAATACTGTACAAAATAAACTTCACTCTATTTGACTAGGGTATATACAAAACAAAATAAATTCTCTGTTCAGACTTGGGTTCCATCCTCAAGACAGCTTGCTACATTTTTTTTTTTAATATTCCCAAACCAGGAAAACTGCAAAAATCTGAAACCCTCTTGGACCCAGGTATTTTGAATCTGTGCTTGCACTTTGCCATCTCCTGGGATCTAGACAGCGAGTTCCCAAATGGCAGTACCCTCAGGTCTAAAGACCAGGAAATAAGCATCCCAGAGCTGCCTCAATAAGCTGAGCTGCCTTGAAGCTGTTTTTCCTCACTGTTTTAAACAAATCATCATATTTACTTTCGAAAAGCCTTGGCTGCTGAATTTACATAGAGCTTAACTGAAGCATGTAAACAAAACCATACTGGCAATCTGCCTTCCATTAAAAATTTTAACTGTGTCACAATTTCCAGACTGTTCAGTGATGTCTAAAAGTGTACAAATAAGGATTATTGTTAATCCTTTTGCAGGATAAAGGACTTATTTTAAAATGTAAGAGGTCTTAGGAAGCCTTTTGCTTTAGCTACTGTTTTATTAAATTTCCTTATACAACATCACAGTGACTTACATGAATATTGTGAGCGTGAACTGACTGATCACTCGAACCACTGAACACCAGGTCATTCACCACCTTGAAGAATAAATGGGCAAGTTAGATTTTCTATAGGGTTCTCAGTTTCCTTTATAACTTGTTGTTACAAAGGGGATTTTAACTTCTGAGACGAGCATGAATTAGACCGAATTCCCCAAATTATCTCAACTAAAACTTAAGTCTGACCATTGGAAGTGCTGGTGAACTGACAACTCTTAGAGTGATCATGAGGTTGCCTAGCAGAGGAGGAAGGGTATAACCACATTCTACAGTAAAATACACTTGGTTTCTTGGTTAACATATTAAAGAGAGTATCATTTGGTGATTCAGGCACAAAGATTATTATATTCTAAATAATGCATCAGACGACCTGAAAAGTGCTATTCAAAACCCCTCAGCTCGTGCCAGACCACTCTTGTTCTCACACGCTGTACTTGCCTTCATGCAAAGGATGGTTTTGCTGTGGCCCTCCAGAGTTCTGAGGAGCAGGCCGTTCCGGGCGTCACGTACACTAATGGTACAGTCGTAAGAGCCCACAACCAGCAGCTTTCGGGCACCTTCCTGAGCTGTGGCAAGACAGCTGACTGCTCGAGGGCCATGACACTCAAAGATCTCCATGCGTTTGTTGTTCTGAAAAGTAAGCACTGTCAGATTCAGTAAACGCAACCTTGCTAGAAAAAAACAAAACTAAACTAAAAAACAAACCAAATCACTGTTTTAGGACTAATTCTCAATTCCGTGACCTACACTCGACATTTCTATGCTTCCAACCTCCATCCAGTCCTCTCTGCTGTGTTCATGGCCTCTCCCTTCCCTGATCTAGTTGGGGGACAAACTCTTACATGACAGATCAATTGATCATTTCAACCACATGATTCTCAACTTAATTAGAAAATGACTGTTTTCATATTCCTTAATAATAAAGAATCAATATTTTCCATACTACATTTTCCAGGCAACAGACCCTAAAATTCTTCCACTATATTAAAAAAAAAATGATAAATGAATGTTCGTGTCTTTTCATCTACTTGAATATGTGTATGGAATCAAACTCCCAGAAATTTGGCAGAGATCAGCAGTCGGGAGCCTGCAGAGCTGAGAAACTACTTAAGCCTTCCCAAAGTGTTAGGGACACAGAATAATTAGAATTCAAGACTCAGTGCAGACATGTCTGGGTAAGTAATTCTGGGCAAATCAAAGGAACTCCAGGGGAAACCTTCAAAATTTACACCCAAGTCAAGATGCTCACATTCTAGATCTCTTTTTTTAGAGCTTTTAAATCATATTAAGAATGTATCCATTCAAATTTATTATCAGGGCTAGGTGCACCATCCATTGGTCTGCGTATGAAATGGGGCTGGGGACATGCTGACTGCAACCACCAATGTGTGTGCAGGCTGACGTGGGTGATGAACTGAACTGGACTCCACACTAGCTGAGACATACAGGAGTCTGGTTGCGGTCACCTCTGCCAAGGTTTCTTGGATACACCCCTCTCCAAATGGATCACTGGACTTAAACTCCAACCATGGGCAAAAATCACAGGCTATGTGGTCTGACCATGGAGTGCATTTGTCAAAACTGGGGTTCCATGGTTGCTGAGGCCTACACAATGAACGGCAAGCCCAGATGCTCATGGCAGACATGACAGCCAAATCATTGAGGCCTGCAGGGAAAACTAGTACCTTGGAGAGCAGAAATTACTCTCTTGATCTATTCATATCAAGCAGTCAGCTTGGCAACTGATTATACATGTGCTAGATTCTTTTACCCTAGGCTTCTTACAGCAGCAAGCATGTCATTTTACTGCATCCTTTATATAACTGCTGCATGTAGCACATAACAAACAAATGACATGGTAATGGTACATAGCACATATTCTGGGACAGGCATTTGGCACAAAGGCTTCAACAGTGCTTGGGGTTCCCACAACACACACTGCAGTGCCTGGGTTCAAGCGCCAGCTCTGTTTCTAATCCCAGCTTCTTGCTAATGCATACCACAGGAGGCTGCAAAAGATGATGCAAGAACTTGAATCCCAGCCAACCACATGGAAGAACCAGACTGAGCTCCTGGCTCTTGGTGTCAGCTTGGGCCAGCTTTGGCTGCTGTGAATCCTTGGGGAGTGAACCAAAAGACGGGACATCATTCTGTGTCTGCCTGGCTAGCTCTCCCAGTACGCTCTCCAAGTAAGTAAAAACAAACTTAAAAAAAATCACTAAACATTCTAAGTACACATGTACTACAAGAGGCTCATGGGATATGATGCTGCAATAATTAGTAATCCAATCTATGAATTCCACTTTTTAGATTACCTCTTTTATCCACTTCTTTTCATCCATACACTAACTTTTCTAGTCAGCTTTCATCACAAGCCTCCAATGGCTGCCTTGCTTCTACGAATACCAGTCTTCCCCAATATCATCTGCACAGTGAGTTTTTCTAAATACAAATACCACAAAAAATGCAACTGCCTTCACAAAATACAAAGGCCATCAAGCACTTCCTAAGCCTTATCTGAGACCTAGCATGTAACGGATGCCCGTTAATGGTGTGCTCAACAAGTAAATTGATCTCTGCATTGTACAGGTTTGTTAAGACCATCTTTACAAGACTCTAAATCAGTTCCAAATTACGCCAGTATCATATTCAAAAAAATTCAGACTGCTTTCATGGTGTGGTTCTTAAAATGAGATATACTAATTTAACCTGTGACTCATTATTTGGCCCAAAATTGGCACACTTGCTCTTATTTTTTTCTGTTTAAGGTGTAGAAGAAAAACACGTAAAGCATGTTATCAGTCAAGCTTTTTGGTTTTATCACATTTAACGACAGCAATAAAAGATCACAAGCAATGGTGTTCTGTTCAGCCATTTCATATAGAAGGAGGGTACCAAAACCCCCTCCCTCTTCAGATCATGGCAACTTTGCTCTATCCCACAAGCATAGCCACTAAAATCTACTCATTGAAGAAAATGTGGTAGTCAAATGGGAGCCACACTTGATCTTATTTGGTAGCATTACATTTTGGTCCTGGTACATCTCATCTACGCAGACAGAAGAAAGGCTCTTATTTCACTTACATCACAAAATAACTGTTTTTGAGAAGTGGTTAATTTTATTTCCTTAAACAAGAAAACAGAAAACCTCCCGTCTGCTACTCCTTCCCACACACAAATGGGCAAAAGAATTCAGTCTTCTCCCCACCAACCACTCACCTTTATGTTGAAGGTGACCACAGTGCCATTGGCCAGTCCGGCATAGAGGATTCGCCATCTACTGTGGAGGCAGAGAACCCGGTCTTCCAGCTCTAACTGCTCCAGACACTCTCGGGTCTGACAAAAGCATACAACATCTATCAGCAAATGGGATGGGAAAACAATTTCCCCATGAGAGCAAATTTAATAATGAGAATTTTATTATTATTATTTTATGATACAGTTCCATAGGCCCTGGAATTTCCCCTACCCTCTCTCCTATATATATATATATATATATTCTAATATATATTCCAATAATAACAGTATGTATATATTCTAATAGCCAGTATGCATGCCTCCAATTTATATAATTTATATACCTCCAATTTATAGAATATATACACATATATTCTAATAGCAGTATGCATGCCTCCAATTTAGAATGTACAAGCTTTTCAAAGGGGCACTATGAGTTGGGTCTGAGCCCTCTAAATAAATGTCAAAAATTAAAGCTGCATTTGCAACCTGGCTTTATAATTGTGTATTTGGCAAACATGTTATTCATAAGGGCTTTCCTGCAATGTATTCATTAAACCACCTTCAAATTCCTGCTTCGCAATGGCTGCTAAATTAGTTGGGCCATAATTACCCAGGAAGTTTTTTTTTTCTTTAAATTTTAACTTTTTTTTTTTAAAGGCAGAGTTACAGAAGGAAGTACAGAAAGAGAGGGCGGGGCGGGGCGGGGCGGGGAGCGCAATCTCCCATCTGCTGTTCACTCTCCAAATAACCGCAACAACTAGAGCAGAGCTGCCCCAAAGCCTGGTTCTTCTTCCAGGTCTCCCATGGGGGTGTAGGGGCCCAAGGACCACACCCTCCTTTGCCGTTTTCCCAGGGAATAAGCTGGAGTTGGATCACAAGTAGAACAGCCAGGACTAAAACTGGAGGTGTATGGGATGCTGGTGCTGCAGGTGGATTAGAACCGGCACCCATATGGGATTCCGGCATGTTCAAGGCAAGGACTTTAACTGCCAGGCTATTGCACTGGGCCCTATATCTTATTTGTTGATGAACTTTCCAGTTTATCTTCTTGCTGTCTTCCTATTTAGTGATCTCTCATATGAAGAGGGCTAGTGAAGTCTCCAACTATTGTGGAGAGCGGAGCCGCGCCTCAAAGATGGCGCTTGTTGACCATTGCACAAAGGTGGTAAACAGGTTTTGGGAAGTTACTGAGGATTGGGCCGAGCACGCAGGGAAGCTACGTGACCTAAGTCATGATTGGTGTGCTTGCCACATGATGTGAGGAGCTGTGTATGGATTGGTTTGTGTAATGTAAAAAGGTCTGGGTAAAAAATAGTTAAGAGGAGATTCTCCCAGGCGCGCTTCAAGGCTAGAGCTAAGGCTATCGCTTCAAGGCTATGTTGTAGCTGCTATCGCTAGCGCTAGGCTGTAGCTGCTTTCACTTTGCTGCAATAAATCTTACAACTGTTGTAACTGCTTTTGCTTTGTAACTACCCTTGAAGTCCGCAGAAATAAACTTTTCAAAGAATCTTTACCGTATCGGGGTCTTGCTCGCGGGACGAGGGACCCTGATAAACTATTATTGTGAAACTTGTTAATTCCTCCCTTCTATACTGTTGGTTTGCTTCACCTACTACTTTATTGACTCTTATTATGAAATGTCCCCCTTTCTCCAACAACATCTGTCTCAAAGTGTTTGCCCAATACTGACATCATTGCCCTATGCCCTTTTTATTATTTGTGTAAGACAATTCATATTTTTTCAATTTTTTTTTACTTTCAATTGTATTGTGTTTTGTGCTTTCAATTTACTTTCTATTGTATCTTTGACGTTAAAGTGTTTCTTCTTTTCTTTTTTTAAAAGATACATTTATTTTTATTGGAAAGAGATTAACAGAAAGAACAACAAAGATTTTTCCATCCGCTGGTTCACTCTCCAGATGGCTGCAACAGCCTGAGCTCAACCAATTCGAAGCCAGGAGCCAGGAGCTTCTTCCAAGTTTCCCACGTGGCGCAGGGTCCCATGCTTTGGGCCATCCTCCGCTGTTCCCTCAGGCCACAAGTAGGGAGCTAGATGGGAAATGGAGCAGCCAGGACACAAACTGGCACCCATAGGGGATCCTGGCACTTGGAGGAGGAGGATTAGCCAATCAAGCCATTACACTTGGCCCTAAAGTTTTATTTTTTTTATTTGGTATTACTTCTGCATCTTACCTATATCTGTCTTTTGATTTTGATGGCATTTCATTTGCTTTTAATGTAATTAGAATTTTTTTTTTAATTTGTTCCAATTTGAGCCCTCTTTTTGTCAATCTATTTTATCTTATACTAAATTTTTCAAGTATGTTATTTTAATTTCTCAACTAGCTTTCTAAGTTCAATTTATTCTGCTTCACCAGCGGTGGCCCCTAAATGTAAGTTCTTCAGCCCTTTCCCAGACATGCTTAGGACAAGGTTCAGTGCTGTGCGTTAACAAGGCTTCCACATGAATCTAACGTACACTGAAGCTGTGAAACAGCAGCATCAGTCCTTAGCAATCTACTTCACACTCATTCCCACTGAGATGTCAGAACCTTACACTAACACAGCTTCATTCACTCCATCTCCTCTATGTACCTATTATCACACATATTCCACCCATGTGTATTATAAACCTAACAGTGTAACTAAACATGTGGTTTGTATTCACCTCATACATATCTGAATTTATACCAGAGTTCCCACTCTTCCCAATCAACACGGTTAGATGTAGGTCATTATTACCCCTTCTGGTTTCTCTGGACTCACCCACCTTAACATGATAGCAGCGAATGGTGTGGTCACTGGAACCAGTGTAGAGGGCGGCGTTCTTCTCAGATGTCTGGGTCACCAGCAGGCAGTTCACTTTGGAGCTATGGCCTTCAAAGATGCCGATACATTTCCGACTCTAAAGTCAAACACAGGTCACGTTATCACTTGTAGGGTACAGATGATCAAGTAAAGTGTTTCTTCCTCAACAAAATGAGGCAACAACAGTCAGGTCACTACTTTTTGCTCAGTGCCTACAATAATGCCTGGAACACAAAAGGTATTCAGTAACTAGCCATTCACTGAATGCCCAACTGATGGCTGCAGGGTCTGGGGTACCTGCAGCTGGATGCTGAGCCATAACCAGAAAACACTTAATACACTCCTCCACAGGAGAGGACAGAAGCCAATTCTCTACCTTGAGCAACACTAATATATGGACCAAATACAAACTATAGTGCTAATTATCCTGAATAGGTATGTATTTGATCATTGAAAAACAGGTTTCATCAAAGGTTTTAGTGGCTTACATGTGACTTCCACAGAGAACATTCTAAATGATATGTCTGTATATATGCACAGATCTATTTAGGATGTACACACACACAGACACAGACACAGACACACACACACACAGACACAGACACAGACACACACAGACACAGACACACACACACAGACACACACACACAGACAGACACACACACACACAGACACAGACACACACACACACACACAGACACAGACACACACACACACACACACAGAACACACAGACACACACACACACACAGACACAGACACACACAGACACAGACACAGACACACACACACACACACAGACACAGACACACACACACACAGACACAGACACAACACACACACACACACACACAGACACAGACACACACACAGACACACACACACACACACACACAGACACAGACACACACACACAGACACAGACACACACACACACACACACACACAGACACAGACACAGACACACACACACACACACAGACACACAGACACACACACACACACACAGACACACACACACACAGACACAGACACAGACACACACAGACACAGACACACAGACACAGACACAGACACACACATACACACACACACACAGACACAGACACAGACACACACACACACAGACACAGACACACACAGACACAGACACAGACACACACACACACACACAGACACAGACACACACACACAGAGACACAGACACACACACACACACACACACACACAGACAGACAGACACAGACACACACACACAGACACAGACACACACACACACACACACAGACACAGACACACACACACACACAGACACAGACACAGACACAGACACAGACACACACAGACACAGACACAGACACAGACACAGACACACACACAGACACAGACACACACAGACACAGACACACACACACACACACACACACAGACACAGACACACACACACAGACACAGACACACACACACACACACACAGACACAGACACACACACACACACACACCCTCTGCAATTTAACTGTTATGCTCATATTTCCTTATAACACTGCTTCCTTCCTTCAGTCCCTCCCATTACTTCTCCCATCACTAGGTGGAAGGAGGTTACATTTTTGTTATCTGTGGCAAACAATTTTCCTGATCCATCAACTAACTTTCAAATTTTCTGATTACAAAAATTACTTCAGTAGTACTTCCAAGGCATTATTTATTCAGAAAACACGGCATTTCTAAAATTTCTTGGCTATCAGAGCCAGCAAACAGATCTCGACACATATCAAGTACTCGGAAGTTCTTTTTTTGAGACTAAGGAAGATCAGAAATGTAAGTGTGAGGCAGTGGGGAAGGACTGCTCTCCTGTCACCTGGACACTCAGCAGCTGTCAGGAAATGTCTCCTCTGATGCCTTCTTAGAGCTCCTCTCTGTGACCTACCAGCGACTCAACTGCCCCCACACCAACTCCAGGGGTGGCAGCTGACTGACCAGAGCCTGCTGGCATGGGTTTAACCTCCTTTGCAGCAAGTGAAGGTACCAGCAGTATAAAGTCTAGCACGCTTTTGTGGTATTAGGAGCGGGGGGGGGGGGGGGGGGGGCGCAAAACACCACAGTGGCTATTGACATCTGTCTGTGAGAAGGGGAACCAGCTTTTAGAAAGGAGTGGTCCCTGAGAAGGCAGAATAGAAAGACAGAGAGATCAGGTCTCCAGTGTCTCATTCTGAGGCTCACCCCTACCTTGGGATAGACAGTAAATTCCCCAAGTTGTTTAAGGGAAAGAGTTGGCTTTTCGGGCCTGGTGTGATGGTGTAGCGGTTAAAGTCCTTGCCTTGCATGTGCCAGGATCCCATATGGTCATTGGTTCTAATCCCGGCAGCCCCGCTTCCCATCCAGAGCTCTCTACTTCTGGTCTGGGAAAGCAGTCGAGGACGGTCCAAAGCCTTGGGACCCTGCACCTGCATGGGAGACCCAGAAGAGCTCCTGGTTCCTAGCTTCAGATTGGCACAGCTCCAGCCGTTGTGCTCACTTGGGGAGTGAACCATCAGACGGAAGATCTTCTTCTCTGTCTCTCCTCTTTGTATATCTGCCTTTCTAATAAAAATAAATAAATCTTAAAAAAAAAAAAAAAAAGAGTTGGCTTTTCTAAAGCCTGCTTCAAACATTCTAAATGCTACATGAACTTACCACCAGATTATACACACGGACAGTTTTATCCGCTGAGCAAGTATACAGTAAGTTCCCAAATATCTGGATTGCATTCACAGCAGCCTGGTGCCCTTCAAAGCTCCCTTCTGTGGGCTCATCATCATCTCCTGGCTCTGAGGATATTTCTAGAAAGTACGGACAGATTTCAGAGACATGGCTACCAATCAAAACCATTATACCATACAGAGGTTCCCAGATTAAACCAAAAAGACCTTCTACAGTCTAGTTTTCCTAGCAAAGTCCTGTATTTCCTTGGAAGATTTTTAACAATCCTAGAATAAAAGACAGCATGGCAGGCCTTCATGCAGAAGGTTTATTTTGCTGAAGAAGTTTTTAAACCCAAGCATCTTCCCCTCACCCCCCAATGGAAGTTTCCATCAATTTGGGAAAATCCCTTGCAGAATGAGCATCTAAAGGACAGCTGAGAGGCACCTGTACCTCGCCATTATTTCCCCTTGCTGCCAGTTATTTCCTTGAGTAAGACACTGAAGCAGTTTCTTCTTAAAGCAAAAATCCCTGCAGCCAATGAAACCTAAATGCTAATCAGCTGAACACAGCTGGGAGCCGGATAAGACAGGAAGAACTGCCAAGGCCAGGACTGGAGGACTTAAGGATGCCAGGACTGCCCATCAACACAATCCCCTTTGGGACTGCCCCCACCCCCTCCCATTAGGTTACACAAATAAAGTAAAATCCTGACTCTAACATGCATCAGCCATTATTCCCCACAGTTAAATGTAAATTAAACTGAATGACAAATACCTGAAGAGTTCTTAGATACTTTTATAGAAGTGATTACTGTTTGAGTTTCTGCCACACTGCAAAAATAATAGCAAAAGTGTTCTCTTAGTATATATGTGGAAAGGATAGGTAGTAAATATCTCCTAACTCTAAAATTTTTTTCTAAACAATGGGCAATAGATCAGCTTCTCTATTAAAATTTCTCCCTGAAGGGAAGGATGAATATTTAGCACAAAGTAAAACCTTTTCCGACAAGGGTTGGTTCTTCCATATCATAACTCCTGCTATAGTTACATAAATCTCATTTCTAAGCAAATATTGATTCAAAACTAAAAGCTTTCTTTGTTTGTTTTTGTTTTTTTAAAGAAGACTGGGGCAGGCATTTTAGCATAACCATTAAGTTACCCTTGGGGTGCCTGCACTTGAAGTCACATTGACCCTGCTCTTGATCGAGGAGGGAGCAGATGACGATTCAGTGTCTGGGTTCCCACCACCCTTGTGGCCTCACCAGCCCTTAGTGTTGTCAGCAGCTGGGTGGTAAAACAACCAATCTCTATCTCCCTGCCTTTCGAATTAAATGGGGGGGAAAAAAAAGGATTGGTGAGAGCTATTCTGACTGAACCAATGCAACCTCCTCACCTTACGTGGATGCCATCTTTATGGCGAGTGACAATCTCACTGGTAGAGCTAACTTCATCACATCCAGAACGAGAAGTTTCCAGCGAGTTTGGCTCTGTAGTGTTCCAGGTATCCTTTTTGGATGGGCTGTCTGGTTTCTCCTCTCCAGACTCAGAGGATTCGATTGGTATCACTTCCAGAGGAAGGTTATTAATTTCCAGGACTTCCAGGGACGAGTCACTGTCGGGCTCATCTCGGACACTGTCCTGCTCCAGACCAGCTCTGCTGTCTTCCCAAGTGGATGTCGTTACTTTCCCTCCTTTGGTTAACTTCCCGCTTTTAACCTTCCTCACGGGTTTCGCGGTAAACACATCCTGCTCGGTGTCACTGTTCTCAGGAACACGGGTGGCACGCAGAGTTTTCTTCTTCCGAAGTTTCTTCTTTTTCTTGTTCACCTTTGTGTCGGCTGATGTCAGGGTGGATTCAGCCTGCTGCTCAGGCTGGTCAACTGGGGAGTGGGGTTCCTTCTCCAACGAGGTTTCGGCAGTAAAAGATAATCTTGGGAAAGAACTGGTACAGGCTTCAGACCCAATGTTGCCTTTGGTTGGTTCTTCACGTCCTTTATTTATACTAGGAAGACTAGACGATTGGGAGGAGGGAGAGTTTTCTCTGTCCCTGATGCTTTCTTGCTCCACAGACAACTTGAGTTCTTGGCTAGGCTCATGGAAACTTTCTGTTAGCCCTGAGAAGGGCAACGTTGCGGTCATGACGGGGTAAGCGGGAGAACTATCGCTCATCTCTCCTGAATCGAGAAGAAAAAAATTACTGCGTCCTTTTTGTGTTTGCTGTTTATTTTCACAAACTAAACACGTCACTGACTGGATCTCTACCAGACATCGGGGATACATGCACAAAACCACGGCTGTTAGGGCTGTTGTCACAGGCCTCTGGGACCTGCAGGACACGCTCCTGTTGGAGCGCTTACTCTTCTCCTATCAACCCCACAAAAAACATGCGTGTCATTGTCCCTATGGAAGCTTCTTGTGGACAAGGACTGCTTCTATCCATCTTGTTTTCTCATTTAAGATGTTCATATAGCCAATGCTATTGTATTAGGAGACACATATTTACCTGACTAAAGCACACTTTTATGTCTTAGCAATTTGTCACTATACATTTTACCTACACATCATCCAATTTTTGCTACACACTAATAGTTAAAAAGCCAGCTGACTTAAAAATGTCCTCTTTCTTTAACTCAGTTGTTTCATGTCTAGGAATTTTAATTCATGAAATACAAATATACTGGAAGACACATTACACAGCACAAGAAAGGCTGAAATAATATGTAATAAGGTAACATCTACAATTTCAGTTTTCCAACTTTTCACAAAGGATATAACTTCAACCCCATGCACAAAAACCGAACTCATGCACGTGTCCTAATAAAAGTGTTAATACAAAGTCAACTCAGTAACACTAGATTGGAGAAAATCAGGAAGAGGTTACTGATATTTAAATTCTCTAAAGTCTTTTAAAAGAATGACCCTGAATGAAAGAGATTTCAATGAAAATTAGGATAACTTTTGTTTTTTCATGGCAAGTATAGTTTCACGCCACTCAAACCGTTGCCCTAGTCCCACTGCAGGGATACCCTTCATCTAGAGAAAAGTTTACATACTCTGAGCTTGCAGTAATCCCTTGGACACATGGCAGGCAGAGCCTTGTGACACAGCATTCGGATTCTCTTCTTGTTCGGGAGACATGGGCTCTTGTTTAATATGAACTGATGAGTCTGGAGCAGGGACACTGCCATGGGCTGGCAAGGTGGATGTGTTGACTTGGAGAGGGGCTCCCGTGGATGAGGGAGACGCGAGGGACGATGGTGGTTCCAGAAACGCTGGGTGAAAAGGTGTCGGCAGCAGTGTGGCGTCAGCAGATGTCTGAGACCTACTGTTCCTTTGTTCTCGTGTGAGGCTGCAGGGTACCTGGTCTGGGTGCTCAGAGGGTTCATATGTTTCTAGAATAGGATCCAGAAATACAAACAAATGTAAAAATCTGGAAAGCCACTGGTTTCTCAGTGAATACGTGTTTTTAGAGATTAGAAGACAGTTTTAAATCAATGTATTAAATAAATGTGATAACCTATACAACTATCATCAAGATGTCAGAACATATTTCAACATTCAAACTTCAAAATTTTAAGTGATTTATCTCGTTATCTCATATAGGTAGGTACTCATAGAAAAGCCAAGAGTGGAAGCTAGTCTTGTGATGACTAATTTAAAGCTCTTCTCTTAAGACACTGTCTCTCTGGCTAGGCATTTTTGCGGATACATAGTCTATGGGCTTTTCCAGAGCAGGACAGAACCAGAGAAGAACAGAAATCATGACGTATCTGTAAGTACCCATTACTCTGCTCTACAGGGTAAAATTGTAGTAAGACACAGAGGCCCCATCCCACCAGACATTCTCTGAATACCTTGCAATCCCTGTAGAATCTGTATTCTTTGGGTCCTCAGTGCACTCATCTCCACAGTGATCTAAAAATAAAGTATTCCGTTAAGCATGCTGAAATCCAACTTGAAAGACAAATCCACTTTCATCACACCTTCTGTCTGTTGTCACCTGCTGTTTGAGCATAAGCAGTCTCTGAACTTCAATGTAAGCTGTCTGAAGTGCTGCCCGCGCTTGCACAAGGTTGTTATCCATGCACTGTAGTGATTTACTTAGTTCTTCCTCCCTTAAAGAAATATTCAGCAGCTGGTCAACCTGAGAACGTTCTGCAAGAAATCAGATGGTTTAATACTGAAATTTATCTTTAATAATACAACTCCTCAAAAAATGAGCTGAACTGATTATTCTTTCTAATAGGTCATATTAGAGATCTATTGATTTTCACAGAACATGTATTGAAGGTAATATCAAAGCTAGAAACTAAAAATTGAGAACTGGTAGGCTGTAGGTTCAAGTACACTATTACTCTGTACTGTCTTACCTAATTACCTTCCACCAAATACCTTTACAGGTGAAATCCATGTTCTAGGCAAATCAGCTTTGAGGTGGTATGTTCCATTCTTTTGGTATGCCATTCTTTTCACACAGGGCTTTTGCTTAGATCAAGAGTAAGATCTAGGCTGCTGGCTCTCTCCTCCTCCTAACCTTTATTTTTCCAGTCTGTTAACTCAAAATAGTTCTGCTTATTACAGAAAGCTTCCTGAGGAAATACTGCTTTGATAGAATACATTTAAATGTTCTACTATGTGTATGTATTCCAACACCTGTGTGCTAAACTTCACACCCACACATCAACTATGATATCCCAACTTAAGTGTCTCAAGGGTCCTTCAAGCAATGAATCCAAACGGCAATCTGCCATCTTTCTATACTTTCAACTTACTCCCATTGGGGAATTTTCTATCTCTACTAACGGTATCATCATTTATCCAGGCTAAAACTGGAGCCACCCTTGACACCTCCTCCCTCATTTATCACATCCATTTGCCACCCCACTCTGTGACATGACTCACTTTCTGCTTATACTGCAACTCGATTTAAGTCAACAGAAAGTCAAGAGTCAGAAGCATTATCAGTGAGAGAAAAACTGTTCATATCTACCCTTTGAAATTCCATTAAAAAGGTAACCAAGACACCTCAAAAACAGAAAATGGGAAAAACGGCTACTTATATGTTACTAAGAGGCATAAAATACTAAATATCCTGTTGCTTTCATCCCACCTAAAAGGCCAATGAGATTTTCTCACTTTACAATATATTAACTGTATTAACCGAGATATATTCACTGTAACTTACAGCTGTATGCGACCAATTTCTGCTATTGTTATAAATGGATGTTGTGGGAAATCAAGCTTTTCTCTACCCTTCAGCCAGGCAGCAATAATTCAAAGAAACGATACACAGATCATTAGTGTTTGATCACTGCGAGTTACATTCCAGGTCAAGTTGTAAAAAGGCTAATGTGCTATTAACACAATGCTCTGCCAGAATATTCCGCACCATACCTTTCTTTCCTTTAATTTTTCTTCTTTTGTTCTTTCTCTCAAGACTTGGGAGTTCAGGAGAAGATCCATCCTGGAAGGATAAGACAAGTGGAAAATACTATATAGGTAAAAGCTGTCACGTGAGAGAGGTAAAAACAATCAGTTCCAAGATGGCCAGACACTGCTCATCAGGTCCCACACACAAGGTACAAACTGAAGTACTACTTGAATGAAAGTACTGATCTAAACAAACAAAACAAAAAGGTGGAAAATAAAATTTAAAAAACAAACTAAACTATTTGTGAGGTAAAACAAAGATATCCTCTGGTCATAAGACAACTGTTAGCATAAAAGTCTGTTTTCAAGTTTTCAAAAATGTCTGCTACATAGTATTCAGTTCAGAGGAATCCAGGAGGAAGCCAAGTTCTTAGCTACTCCGTGTACATATTTTCCCAAAGGACCAGAATCTAGACTGTATCACTACCAAGAGCTTTTTCAGCAAGGGGGCCTGAGAAGGCAAGGCAATATAAACGACAAAGAGGCATCAGACAGGGAGTGAACCAGCAGATGGAACACCTTCTTTCTCTGCAACTCCTTCTCTCTGTAAATCTGCCTCTCTGATAAAAATAAATCTTTAAAAAGAAAGGAAGAGAAAAAAAAAAAAGAGGGAAAATATTAAAGGGCCAGGCTGTGTAATGGTCCAAAGCTAGAGTTACAGGGACTAAAAATATATATACACTATGCTCGTAGATATGTACTCTAGTAGTATTAAATCACCTTAATACGATGCCTAGTAGTTGGGGCTCATCCAGGTCCTATAAACACAACAGAATTCCTTTCTCCAGCAGAAGTACAGAATGCAGCTATGGAAACATTAAGTTATAGCTGAAGATAAGACTTAGCCTTGGTCAGGTGATAAAACCACCACTGGCTTGGAGATTAATTTTAAAGATGACCTCATATTTTCCTAGTACTGTACATTCATATCAGGTTACACTGAATTTAGCAGAATTACTCAATGCAAACAACCAGTAGGATAAAAGAGCCTCGTAATTCTGCTATTCTGGAGTGGAGAGTGTCAATCTCAGATGCCCAGAAAAATTCAACAGTACATTTTCCTTATAAACAACCAAGCTGGCACAGAGATAATTTACCAAAAATACACAGGAATTGTACTCACTCCGGTGGCTCTTCGTTTCTTCCTAATACTCGGGCAATCGTTTTGTTCAGCACCAGAGGTACAGCTGCTGTCTGTGGCTGCATCCGCTAAGCTGGAGCTTGCCAGGGCTAAGGATGCATCCGATGGTGAGTTTCTTTCTCTTTTACTCTCCTGAGCAGTCTGACGCTCGCATGGTGGTGTAGACCTTTCCTGGCTGCCCAAGTCTTCAGCTGAGTGCACTGCGGGCATTATCCGGTCAGAGGGTACTTGTGCACTGGGTTCATCTGCTCTCAGGGTGGTGCCCAGAGACGTCGCTTCCTGTTTAAGGCGCAGCATTCCTTTAGGACTCTGTGCAGCCGCCAGTGAGTTATTCAGCGACACAACCTGCTGGGGCTCATTTTCTTTGCTCCCAGTTTCCTCAGTGAAGAAGCTATACATGGAAGGTGCCCTGTCCACAATCACACTGCTCTCAGAAAGGCTTCGCTTCCTCGCCAAGCCAGGAGAGGAAGAGATGGAAATGCCTTCCCAATGGAATCCTTCTCGATCAGACAGATCAGGTTCCCCATCCAAATCTAAGGTCTCCTGCTCATTTTGAACCAGGGGTACCATTTCTATACCGAACCTTAAGGGAAAAGAAAAAAAAAACATGAACCAGATGTGGTTGAGGAGGATGCACACTATTTAATGTGCCAGGCTTCACTAAATACTGAGGACACAAAAACAAGTTAAGATGGGTCTTGTCTTCAAGGAACTCCCAGATCCTTACACAGCTATGAGAATACAGGTAAGGGAGTAAAAGTTGTAGGTTTGATTCCAAGTGCAGTTGTAAAGCTGTGACAGCAACAACAAAAGCAATTGTTAAGCACTCAAATTAAAAAAAAAAAACAAACACCTTTCATTGAACACTCAAGCCAGGCATTATGCTAACAATCTTTATACTTCTCGAGTACTACTCACGAGTGTAGTAAAGAAAAAAGGAGCAGAGCAAATCCATTATTTCAACAACAGAAAGGTAGTGTGCCATCAGTTCCAGACAGAAGGTAACGGGAGTGGTTACAGTTCAAAGTCCTACCACTCATCCCTAAACTAACACCTGGAAAGATATGGATTCACAGATACATTGCTTGGTGAACTTGCTCTCTCTAGCCCCTTTAGATGGTTTTCCCCTATAACTCCGCTGCATTTCTGAGAAGTATGGGGGCTTCTATTTTAACTGGCATTTCCTGCTAGTGAACATTTTATTTCATTTGTCATAGAACAGTACTCTAATAGTAAACAAAACTAGCCATTTACAATGGGTATTTTTGATAAGCATTTAACTTAATGAAGCAAGCAGAATTCCGTTGCCCAAGGTCAAAGGGTAACTTAAAAAGAAAAAAACAAAAAGAAAGAATCCAGCCATTGTGGTAGCTGAGGAATGAACCAATGGGTGGAACTTTTTGTGTCTCAAATAAATGAAACAGAATTTTACAAATTAATAGAACACAAGAGAGAAAGAAAACTAGATACTGAAGAAAGGCACCAAACCTGGGTAGGCCTTTGCCCAGCTCTTGTTTTTTCTTGGTTACTTGCTGAATGACCTGCTCCCAGTTGACGTTTCTCCGAGACGCGTTGAGGATCTGCCGTAGAGTTGGCTTGAGTCCAGATTCCTTGTCTGTCTCACTCTTTCGATGACCACTAATGTTGCGAATTCGGCGAGCACTGTTGAGATTCGGCTCGGGGAGGTGGGTTCCGGTTTTGCTCTTCAAACTGATGTGCCGGGTTAGATCTCTCTGGAGTGAGGCAGGAAAGCCAAGCTTGCTTAGTTCAGGCAGAAGGGAGCCTGAGGGCTGACCGCTATCGTCCTTTGGGAGCTCTCCGTCCAAGCTGGCGATCTCAAAGCCTTCTGTTTCGTCAGATCTGTGACATTTAACGGAGTCATCAACCTGTGCATCCTCTAGGGAGGTTTTCAAGTCTAACAGTAAGCTATGGTGTGGGCTGGGTGCGGAAGTCACTGGCAACTCAGACTCTTTCTGGAGGGGTGTGGAGCTACGTGGGGAACCAGACAGATTTTTAGGGGTCTTCAGGACTTGGTTTTCTCCCTCCTTCTCATCAGAAGCCTGACTGCTACAGGATAGAACTTGTGCCGTGGAAGAACCCAGGGATCCAGGCTTTGTTCTGTGCTTTTCCTTGTGGGATGTCTCCCCATCACTTTCGTCTCCTAATGCGCGCACCTGGAGCTCGATCTTCAGAGACCCTCTTTCTGACTCCTCTACGTTCCGGCTCATTTTTGCATAGTTCTTGGTCCTTTTAGAACTGCTGAGCAGTGGAGTTTGCAGTGACTCCTGACACTGCAGCACCTCTTTGGCTTTTCGTAATGTATCATTCAAACTGTCATGGGGTTTCTTAGGAGGGCCACACTTACTTTTATTCCCCTTTGAAGTACGAGGACATGAACCACGCAATTTGGAACTGGAAGAACCATGATTATTTTCCTTAGTAGGTTTGTTCAAGGGATTCAAGTATTCTCTGGGCAAAAAAGAATTTCTTTTGGTGTTCTTTGAGGGATTCTTTGAATCCTGCTTTTGAGGAACTGATTTAGTGGCTGGCCTTAGAGGGGGCGGGGACTTCATTGCTGGCATCTTATTGGAGTTGTGTTCACACTCAGGTTTTTCTGTAACAGCACACTCTCTCACCCCCTCACAGGAAGCGGTGCAGTCAGAAGTGGCTTTGTGACTAAGAGACCCAGTAGGTATTTCTTTTTGTGCTGACATTAGGAAATTACTTTTACCAGCTTGAGGGTCTTGCATTCCTGTGGGTATTAAACTAATATCAGACAAAGGTTTATCTGTCTTTTCTGAATTGTTACCACTGACTTCTTTCAGAGCTGACTGTGGATCCAGAGTCTTCTGGGAGGGATATGGCGTCCAGCGATGCTGCTTTTCCCTTGTTACATTACTATTCTTTCCACCAGTTTTGGAAGCTGCAGTGTCAGTCTGTTTAGTGGTTTGGCTTTCCAGTTGTTCGAAGTTGAAGTTAAGTAAGTTTTCTGAAGGATACTTATCACTTGTAAATCCTTCAGAAGAACCTCCATATGCAACAACTGTACCCACTTTATCACTTTCTTGCCACTGCCAATTATATCTCTCCTGACCGTACAGGCTTGCCTTACCAGATTTCTTGTTCCATGGCACGGTCTTATCTTCCTTTTGAGAGTTAGAGTTTCTGTTCCACCCTGGTTGAAATCTGTCTCTAGAGCCACTGTAATTCCAGTTATTTGTGCTACGTACACTGGATTTCCAGTTTCCATTACTGCTGTTCATATGCCAACTGGAAAAACCACCTGTTCCTTCAAAATGCCAACTGGAATTCCTTCCTGATCCATTATGATTCCAATCTACTAATCCACTATTTGGATGCCAGCTACTCCCAGGGTTACTATGGCTGTGAAACCAATTCAGGGAGACTCCTGAAACATCCTTATGCCATCCAGAACGTCCTCTTGCTCCACTGTTCCTCAAGTGAGAAAAACTGTTTAACCTGTTACTGTTAAAGCCATCATTCTTCCATGTCCAATCCCACTGTGGAGGTCCACGGTGATGCCTGCCTGCTTGACTATAACTCTCTCTATCTTGGTAAGGGAGTCGATCTTCTCGTCTCCTTTGGGGTCGTCTATCATCAGAGTTTATTTCTTGGCTGCTCTTGGAAGGTTCATTTTGTCTGTAAGAAAAAGAGTTTCTCATTAATGATTTAAAGGCATTCACAAGCTTCCTTTAAGGGCATTATCCTTCATCCTTTCTTCTACCATCCTCTCTGCTAAGAGTACATAACAGAGCCTATTTTTATATCTATGAGATAGTTAAATTTATATTTCTCAACTCATTAGCTTAAACTATTTCCCCTGTACCACCAATTATGTTAAAAGTTGGCCAATGTTCATTCCTCTTCCTTTCTTTGATGTGCTTTTTTGTTGTTGTTGTTTCAAGAATCCAACTAATATTTTACATTTATGGAGCTTTTTGATTTTTTAAATTTTTATTAAAAATCTCGACCATGCCAGGACAGGTGGAGCAGCCAGGACTCAAACTGGCTCCCAATGGGATATCAATATTGCAGGTGGCAGCTTGGCCTATACTGGCTATTTCCCAGCCTCATGGATCTTTCTTAAAATAAAAACAATATCGCTATGGTTAGTTATCATAGTTAATAAAATACTATTTCAGTTTAAGTTCTTTCTGCAAAACGTGGAGCGGCTGACACTGTGGCGTTGTAAGCTGAGGCACTGATATTCTATATGGGCACCAGTTTTACTCCCAACTGCTCCACTTTCAATCCAGCTCCTTGCTAATGGCCTAGGGAAAGCAGCACAGTATTAGAGATTTGGTCCTGGGCAGAAGATTCCACTCCATTCCTAACCACTAGACCTGGATAGAATTAGATATCCAGGGCCAGCATGGTAGCCTAGGGCTAACCTCGCCTTGAACATGCTAGGATCCCGTATGGGTGTCAGTTCTTATCCCGGTGGCCCCGCTTCCCATCCAGCTCCCTGCTTGTGGCCTGGAAAAGCAATTGAAGACGACCCAAAGCCTTTGGACCCTGCACCAATGTGGGAGACCAGGAAGAGGCTCTTGGCTCCTGGTTTCGCATAAGCTTAGCTCCAGCCACTGTGAGTGATCACTTGGGGAGTGAATCAGCAGACAGAAGATCTTCCTCTCTGTCTCTCCTTCTCTCTGTATATCTGACTTTGTGATAAAAATAATATAAATCTTTTTTTTTAAAGATTTATTTTATTTTTATTGGAAAGGCGGATATACAGAGAGGAGAGACAGAGAGGAAGATCTTCCGTCCGATGATTCACTCCCCAAGTGAGCGCAACAGCCGGTGCTATGCCGATCTGAAGCCAGGAGCCTCATCCAGGTCTCCCACGCGGGTGCAGGGTCCCAAAGCCTTGGGCCGTCCTCGACTGCTTTCCCGGGCCACAAGCGGGGAGCTGGATGGGAAGAGGGGTCGCCAGGATTAGAACTGGCGCCCATATGGGATCCCAGGCGTGCAAGGTGAGGACCTTAACCACTGCGCCACCGCGCCGGGCCCAATAATATAAATCTTAAAAAAAATTGAATCTTCTAAACTAGTTTGGTTTCTTTCCCTAAACTAGATTTAAACCTTAAACCAAGCACTGACTTTAACTCGCTTTTTTTTTCTTTTACAAATTGAATTATAACTTCATTTAACTAAAACTTCACTCACTTAACACTACAAAGAACCACCCTTTCTAGGGTAGGGCATTTAGCCTAGTGGAATGTCTGCATCCTGATTTTAGCCGCCTCTACCTCTGGGATACAGAGGTAACAGCTCAAGGAATGGGTTCCTGCCACTTGTGTAAGCACAAGGACTGAGTGCACATTTCGGGCATAAGCCAGCACATGGGGTATGCAAAAGCTGTCTCTACCTGGAAAGAACTAAATTAAAGAAAACAGTTCTGGGGTAGACAGCCAACAGTTGGGATGTGGGTGAGATTCCTGTCCCCTGTTGAGTGCCTGTGTCTGGCACAAATACCTGGCTCTGATTCTGACTCCAACTTCCTGTTAATGCAGACCTTGGGAAGGAGCTGTGAGAGCTCAACAAACTATGCCCCTGACACTCCAGGGTGAGACACAGACTGCACCTTGGCTCAGCTTGGGAAGCATTTGGGGAGGGAGCTAGCACATGGGAATATTCTCTTGAACTGTTTTCTTAGAAAAAAAAAATTGTTATAATCACTTCTCAACAGGAGACCTTCTGTTCCCAAGTAACACGTTATTACACATACCACAAGATTGTAAAGAAAAAAAAAATCATTAACCAAATTGCTTTTACCTTTTATTTCTAAGCAGCGGACAATTCTGGTATCCAAGGAGATCACTGTCTTAGCTATACTAATATAATTAGTAATAAGATAATTGGTAAAAAAAAAAAATCATTCATGAAGTATATTTTCTAGGTCATCATGAACTGGTTACACTGAGGGAATAACAGCATTTAGTCAAACTCACAGCCCACCCCTCACCCCCAAAATCTTAGTTTAAAATTTCCTAAGGAAAAAAAAATCAAGAAGAAATAAGTAGACAATTTTATAAACATGTCACCGAGGCCTATCAAAAGACTCAAATAGTAACTATGAGAGGAATGTCTGATCTACTCAGATTCTCTTTTACTCTCTGACTTAATGTCCAGTCACTGACACAGATAAGCTAATAACGGAACTAGCGGGTAAGAACAAGCAGCAGCTCATCTCCTAGGGGCTCCAGCACCTAACCCAGAACAAAGTGAAAATACAGCTATATTAAAAGCATGGAGAATGTGTGAAAGAGTAAGCAACTGAATAATTTAAGAACTAATGCTGCTATGTTTTTAAAACTACAGAAAAGCCTCCTTCAGACCCTTGTTCAAATACAACTTTAACACAGAGTAAAAACTATACACTTCCTTTGTATATCCAAACCTCTAATTAAAAATAACCACTCTCTGAGAAGGAGTTCTAACATTTCACTTTAGAATTTGAAATATTTCTCATCATCATGTCACAGTACTTCGAAACTAATTCTGCCGTAATTGGTTTCCCCACTTTCACTTCCACCTAAAAATGTCTGCTTTGATTAAACTCTTTAGACTATAAAACAGTCAAAACACAGTGCCCAACACACGAATGTACAAATGTAAACATGAAATCATGCACCACACAACCTACAGTCATCTGGCACAAATCAAAAATAAAAACGTATTCAGTAAATATTTATAGATTTATTGAGAGTGAACCAATCACCATAGAAGTCACTGAGATTTCAAGGAGAAACTAAATTTGACAGAAGCATCATGCTAATTCACATCCAGTAAAAACCTATTTCCTTGGCTATGTTACTTTGGCAATAGGAAATACCATATTCAATGAGGCTTATACTCTAATACCTTTCCACAAGAATAAAAGTAGTTCAAAACCTGGTTAACAACATAATAAAATTTTCAAATATGTAACTAAAGCTAGTTATGTAAGGACAATATTCATTTTGGTTAATGTTAAGCAAATAGTACTCAAATAACAGAGAATGCATTCCACCGCCTTTTTATTCATCGCATAGCAACCTCAAGCAACGCCTCATAACTAAATTTACCTGTGACATGCTGAAGAGTATAAAAATGTAAAATGTATTCTATAATCTATACGGTGTTCTGTGACAAGATGAGCTTCTTAAGGAAAACTGAAATCCTTACTTACCGACTTTGTTCTTTCCTTTGTTTTATTAACTGAACAAGTTCCTTGTCAAAATACTCTTCTTCCTCTTCATTTTCCTTTCCATCATCTTCTCTTTCCTGGGCATCAACCTTATCTTTGTGCAACTGGCTAGAAATGTGCTTTGCATACGCGGAGAGACCCACTTCTGTGACCCCGCACACGCGGCACTCATGACTGCTGTCCCTAGGGAAAGAGGGAGATGAAGGACATTCAATCCTCCCCACTGGCATGGCAAACTCAGCAGGTCTGTTACAGGTTCCTCTGAAATACACTGCACCCTTGGATGCAATGAAAAATTAGTGCTAGCCAATTCCAATGCTCCTTTCATCCACTTTTAATAAACTGTTTGAGAAGTTACTTTGGAAATGAATTCAAGATTATTTTCCAGCAATCAAGAGGCAATACGCTTGAGGTTAAGGTAGTACTTGGGGAGGAGAAATCGTCTTGAATTGCTGTACTTAAAATCTTGCCAGAGGAAACATGGTGAAAGGGGAGGCAGGGCAGGGGGCTCAGAGCAAACCCAAGTTGCCCTGGAGCACACCCATGATGCCAGCTGCACTCAAGGGCCCGGTGACAAGGCCTCCCTTTTCATCTCCTGCTGCGGCGGTTCCATCCAGTCAAAGCTAAGGGGTGGAGAACAGAGGGGGTGGCAAGGCCAATCCCGAGGGGGTAACTCGATCTGAACAGCTGGAACTCTGCCTGGAATGCCAAGATTCCGGACCAGGGGCAACTGATAGACCCAAGCAAACTTTTTTGGTCTGGATGATACATGTGATCCACATGCTGCTTCAGAAGGGCTTATTTTAAAGAGAATGGAAAGCATTTCGGTTGTAGGAGGCGAACAGCTGTTGTCAGGCAACTGTTTTTTCTCAAGTTTCAGAAAATGCCATAGAAAGAAAGAAAAGAGAAAGCTTGAAGAAAAAAAAGTAAAACCAGGTTTTCAGGTAAACAGGGCAGACATCTTTTTTTCTTAATACATTAAATGGTATATCTCAAACTGGCCACAGTCTAGAATCATGGCCAGAGTTATGGTAAATAATAATAATAATAATAACAACTGCTTTTTAAGTTCCTTAATCCTTTGCGTGGACTGGCTGTCGTTCAGGAGGAATATTTGAACACTAGAGTTACAGAACAGTAGTAACCATTTCAAATCCAACTAGCTAGCCGCCTTAAGTCTGCATCATGCATCTTGAGTTCACACTCGTGACATTTTTGCACTTTCTATACCAATCTATAACAACAATAACAAAAGACAATCTGTCTTCGGCCAGATAGCCATACATGCACATCTCTTCATCTTTCCCTCGCATTCAGCCAAACAACACAAGGGCAGAATTTGTATGAATTAACCAGAAGAGACCCTCAAAACTCAGCACCTCATTTAGCAGAAGATGACCATCATTACACATTACCCAAGTGTTCAACAAAAAACAAAACACAACAACAACTTACCAAGCAACTACAGAATTCCAGAAGTTATGCTAAGATTATGGTCAGTGCTGCAATTACTTCCATAATACCTAGTCAGTTTAAAAAACAAAGCTGTTTCGTACTTTGTGGGGATCACGAAGACTGCCTCACAAAGAGAAAATTTTTAGGCTTTTACCTGTTTTTAGGGCTTTGCAAACTCAAAGTCTGATGTTGCAGAAAAAACGTGAAATGCTTATTTCACTTCTATTTCTTTGCAAGGCAGAGACAGTGACATTGAACTTCCCAAATGCCTGTAATAGCCAAGGCTGCATCAGGATTCGGATTCAGGAGCAGAGAACTACATCCAGCTCTCCAACATAGGGGCAGGAACCATCTTCTGCCTCCTTCACAGGAACATTCATAGGGGGCTGGATTAGAAATAGCCAGGATTGGAGAGACACTCTCTCATATGGAATGCCACCGCAAGTGGTAGTTTAAGCTGCTGCACCATCATGCTGGTTCCCCTCAGGATCTATAAAATGCTACATTGTATACTGCAGTACCAAGATCATCATTCTTAGTGGTAATTTAATGTAACGTATAAAGAGTAAATTCCTGATTTTACCCCTATATCTAATATGTAGAGAATTTTCCCTATGTACAAAATATCAGAATTCTAAGAATCAAGAATCCTCTCTTGGGGTAACCCTTGTGGCACAGTGAGCAAAGCTACCACTTGTGGTGCTGGCATCCCAGATATATTCCAGTTAGTGTCCTGGCTGCTCCACCTCCAATTCAGTTCCTTACCTATTGCCTGGAAAAGCAGCAGAGGATGGCTCAGGTCCTTGGGATCCTGCACCCCTACCAGAAACTCAGAAGAAGCTGCTTGCTTCTGCCCTTAGACCGGCCCAGCTCTGGCCATTGTGGCCATTTGAGGAGTGAACCAGTGGATGGAAGACCTCTCTGTTTCTCCCTCTAAATCTTTCAAGTAAATAAACAAGCCTGTTAAACTGCTGTACTTAAAATCATGCCAGAGTGAAAGCGGAAGTAGGGCAGGGGCTCAAAGTTGCTCTAAAATAACAGAAAAACACCTTCCCTCCCTAAAGACACAATTGATTTTTTTAAATGAAAGAATTTTAAAGTAGGTAAAATCCAGGCCCAGTGTGGTAGCATAGTGGCCAAAGTCCTTGCCTTACATGCATCAGGTTCCCATATAGGAACTGGTTTATGTCCCAGCTGCTCCGCTCCCATCCAGCCCCCTGCTTGTGGCCTAGGAAAGCAGTCAAAGGCGGCCCAAAGCCTTGGGACCCTGAACTCGCGTGGGAGACCTGGAGGCAGCTCCTGGCTTTGGATCTGCTCATTTCTGGCCATTTTGGCCACTTGGAGAATGAACCAGTGAACACAGGATCTTTTTCTCTGTCTTTCCTTCTCTCTTTGGATCTTTCCAATAAAAAAATGAATATATATTTTTTTTAACTTTTAAGATATGGAGCCAGAATGGTGGATCAGGAAGATAATCCTCCAGCTGTGGCTCTGGCATCCCATATGGACATGGGTTTCAGTCTCAGCTGCTCCACTTCCAATCTGGCTCCCTGCTTGTGGCCTGGGAAAGCAATTGAGGATGGCCCAAGGCCTTGGGACCCCGTACCAACATGGGAGATCTCTGCTTTTGACTTCAAATTGGCTCAACTCTGGCCACTGTGGCCACTTGGGGAGTAAACCAGCAGATGGGAAGATCTTTCTCTGTTTCTCCTCTCTGTAAATCTGATTTTTCAATAAAAAATAAATCTTTAAAAAATTTTTGTTGTTGTTGTTGAAGTCTAAGCCATGGTACACAAGTTACAGCGCCACCTGCAGTGACACCAGCATCCCATCTCAGAGCACCTGTAGGAGCCCCTGCTCTGCTTCCCATGAGGCTCCCTGCTGCCCTGGGAAAGCAGGGCCCTGTAATCATGTGGAGATCTTGGACCCTGGCTTCAGTCAGTCCACCAAGGCCATTTGGAGGTTAATCAGTGCACAAAATCTCTTCTCTCTCTCTCTCTCTCCTCTCTGGTACTCCTCCTCCTTTCCAATCAAATTAAATTATATATATATATATATATAGTGAAAATTTTTCAAAATAAATTAGAAAATATTTTTGCAAGGGTGTTGTAGCCCAGTGGGTTAATGGGCTGCTTGGGATGCCACACTCCACACTGGAGCACCTGGTTTAAGTCCAGGCTACTCTTGATCCAGCTCCCTCCAATAGCCCAAATCATTTGGGTTTCTACCATACACATGGGAGACCTGCACAGAGTTCCTAACCCTGGCTTTGACCTGGCCCAGTCCTGGTTGTCGCAGGCATTTGGAAAGTAAACTGGGCAGGCAACGGATGCTTGTGTGTGCCTTTCAAAGGAAAAATTAAAAACAGATATCACTAATGCTTTTCTTATCAACGAAATCTAGTTTTTTAAAAAAAGAGATAAACTTTACAAGATATTTTAAAAAGAGAGAATCTATATTTATAAAAACCACATTTTATGAAAATTCAAATGTGATTGGAGGTAACTATCACTCCTGTTCTGAATGCCGTAAGAATTCATGACTTCACATATGACATTTGAAAAGCTATATGCTTTTAAAAGTTCATAGCAAATTAAATAACTTACTTTTGTTATTTTCAAATTTTTTTCATTTTGTCTTCTATTTTTCTTTTAAAATTTTTTCTAAATATATTTGTTACATTCTATATAAGAACTAATTTATACAAATATAAAAAAAAAATTATGCTTTGCTTCTTAGCTAATAAAGGCAATGACCGTCCCCGGGGAGGTTACAGGAGGGCCCAAATTAGCCTCATCCTGCTCCACACAATTTCCTCTCCTGTGTGAAAGGCAAAGTCTTAAGATACTCGCTCCAGAAGGGCTTCTTTATTAAGCTTGTTCTAACTACCCCACAACAGCTGCTGGATAAATAAAGGTTTGAGCTTTTCGAATAGCATCTATCAGGAGAACTACTTATAGCCCGCACATCTGAACAAGTATATCAGCAAAAAGGGAAGACAGTTCTGGAGGTCCGTAACTATGTAACCAACAGGACAGTAACTTTTCATTCAAGATGTAATTCAAAATTTAAACACAGATATTCAATTCTAAACCAAAGCACAACCAACAACAACCATAAACACAATTGTAAAAACAGATAAACCCCTAACATCAGTAAGCAAATTTAGTAGCGGACATTCACCTTAAGCTCATGTCCCACACTGGAATGAACTAGTTTGTGAAAGTTCTAGCTTTCATCTCAAGTAATACTTTTGTTTGTTTTTTAAACCTAATAGCTAAGCATGAAATCTAAAGGAATGAGAAGACAACAAAAAGAGAAAGCATCAGGGAAAAGAAATAATGACTGGTAAGTACCTGACCACATGGTACAAACTGGTGATGACTGTCCTTACAGTGACGACTCCAAGTCATCAAATTTTGAGATTTTATAGTTTTGCTTTGTCTTAAAGTCATATATACAGAGAGGAAGATTTTTCCATCCGATGATTCACTCCCTAAGTGGCCGCAATGGCCGGAGCTGTGTCAATCCAAAGCCAGGAGCCAGGAACTTCCTCCAGGTTTCCCTTGTGGGTGCAGGGTCCCAAGGCTTTGGGCCATCCTCAATTGCTTTCCCAGACCACAAGCAGGGAGCTGGATGGGAAATAGGGCTGCAGGGATTAGAACCAGCGTCCATATGAGATTCCGGGCACATTCAAGGCAGACTTTAGCCACTACGCTACCATGCCAGGCCCTGAGATTTTACAGTTTTTTAAGAAAGCCATTTTGTCAGTTGTTTTTCTTATTATCAGCTTGCCTTTTCCCTTGTAATTTGTTGTAGTTCAGGGAACCACATCAAACACATTAGCTATACCTGTCTCACTGTGCTAAACACTATCTATTACACTCTATGTGAAAGACTGTAAGGAAAGCGCTTGTAGGCAACCAACACAAAGGTAAGGGGGTCTGTTATGGCATAACAAGTTAAGCTGCCATTTGCGATGACAGTGTCCCATAAAATATCAGCTCAAGTCCTGGCTCTGCCTCCAATCCAGCTCCTTGCTAATGCAACCAGAAAAGCAGAGGGAGATGGCTCCATGTGGGAGATCCAGATGAAGTTTCAGGTTTTCAGCTTTAGTATGAACCAGCCCAACCACTGTGGCTATAAGAAGTGAGGCACAGTGGCATAGCAAGCTCATCTTCTACTTGCAGCATCGGTTTGAGTTCTGGCTGCTCCACTTCTGATTCAGCTCTTTATTTATGGACTGGGAAAGCAGCAGAGGATGGCCCCAAGTCTTTGGGATCTTGCACCCATGTGGGAGATCCGGAATAAGCAACTGGCTTTGGACCAGCCCAGCTCTGGCAGATGCAGACATCTGGAGAGTGAACCAGTGAATGGAAGATCTCTCTTTCTGTAACTCTCCTTTCATGTAAAATAAATAAACCTTTTAAGATAAGCAAGTATATTGTATTCAACATTCATCTAAAATATTCATATATTATATGCCGTACATGAGTAAGCACAAAATTACTCTCTTCTGAATAGTCTGGATATTCAAGCTGAAATTTATATTGGAGGATCAAAAACTTTTAATGCTTTTTTCCTCATTATCTACTGTCCCAAATAACAAAGGGACACGGTTATGTTGTTTCCAAGTAGGAAGGAGGAACATGCTACAGAACAACACATATTGACATCTTGCTCAGTTATACTAACAAGAAAACAAAATGTAAGCATTAACATAAGTCCATGTAAGCACACACAAAAGTTCTCAACACGACGAAGAGCGGATATGATTCTCCCCTAGGGTGAGGAGGGAGAAAGAGTAAGAGGATTTTTTTTTTTTTTGGTGTGATCTTTATTGTGAACATGAATCTTAAATAATCAAAACTTGTTTTTTAAAAAAGTTTTGAATGGTTGCTTAGTGATCTCTGAATCCGTTAAGGTCCCAGCCTTGGAAATCAATGGGCTTCCCTCCTACTGACCAGATTTACCAACCTCACTTAGTTTTATTTTACATTGCACATGGGGCACGTGGCACTTGGCAGTCACCAAGGTAAAGTGAATGTAAGATCTATCACTCACTGAGATCCTGGAGAGGAAAAAATCGCACTAATGTGTTGAAAAGATGCCGAGTGCTCGCTTCGGCAGCACATACACTAAAACTGGAAGGAGAAGATGCTGAAAGTTGAATCACACACTAATTTTTCCACAACATCTACAACTTCATGAGTTAGATACAAACCATTTCAATTGATCTAGGTTTCTACTCATGGAATTAAAATACAATTTAGGTCTCTCCGTTTCCTAATATTTTCTCCCGTTTTCCACACTTTAAAGTAGTAGTTAAAAATACCGAAAAAGGAATCATAGACGGGGGGAAAAAACAAAAACACAGAAGCTTTCATTTTTAAAGGTGTTTATTAGATTGTTTTTCCCTAAAAATCTCAAGCTTTAAACTATAACACAACACTCATAAATACACTGCAGGTTTACAATTTACACTACGGAGAGTTCCTGTGATTAGAAGACTTGGGATTTCTCAGATCAAACCCCGAGGTTTGTGGGATGAACTATCTGGAACACAACACAGCAAAATATGAACCAGACTGGCTGCAAGGTTGCTGCGTAATAAGAAAGCTTCCTAATGAAAGTTCTAGCTGATTCCAACTCACTTTGCTTGTTATCTACTTGTTGAAGGGTTGTTATGTCTACACATTTGAGATAGCCAAAGAAAACAGGCTTTATTCCTTCTGAATGCCAGAAGTTTGCTATATTTATTACTAATTCTAAGTGAGTATTCAATGTCCTAAGACAAAGTTCCTTTACCATGGATTACCAGAAATCAAACCATCAGCACTCAGACCCCCACCCCCAATATTTACAAATTTATGGAAGAGAGCAGTCCCCATACCTGCCCTTCAGGTTCTCAAGTTCCCTGTGATGCAACATGCTCCGCATGTGTTCGTCCATCTCCTTCAAAATTAAAGAAAGCAGGTTAAACTAAGGGCCACTGCTTTATCCATTCCTGCTTCTACTTAATAACAACTGAGGCACAAGCTCCTGCATCCCAATTTTTTTTGCAGCGTCTTCTCAATTCAACATGAATCAGTTCTTTACTAAATAATTTTTTTATATTACTCAGCCATTAAAAAGAATGAAATTCTACCATTTGCAACCAAATGGTCCCAACTAGAGATCATTATGCTCAGTGAAATAAGTCAATCCCAAAAGGACAAATAACGTATGTTTTCTCTGATATAAGGCAATCTTCATGCAAATTATAAGATCAACAGCCCTTTCAATACTGTTTTTGCTGCAACCCATGGGTTTTGATATTTTTGTTTTTATTTTCATTTCTTCAAAATAGTTCCTTTTCTCTTCATTGATTAATCGATTACACAGTAGCATCATTTTCTCCAAATAGCATTTGTGTTTTCTTTTTCATTTCTTCATCGACACACTGGCATGTTACTTAAGTAGCATGTTACTTAATTCCATGGTGCTATAAATATTTTTTTAACTTTATTCCTGTTGTTGATTTTGTTTTATGGCTTCTCACTGAAGAAAATGTATAGTAACTGAGTAACAGATTATCATATTCAGATGTGAAGATACAGTGCAGTATGCATTTCTGCTTCCAAATCAAAGATGGACTCCCAATGAGACTGTTGGATGTGTCTTGACAATGGAATGCTGGACTGTCAGCAATTGTCTGCACCAGCAATGTCAGGACTCGCTTAAATAGCAGAATGATGGACTTACGACTGTTTATGAAGGCCTACAGTATTCTAATAATATGAGGGAAATAAGTTAGGGGAGGAGATTTGGGGAGGAGATAAAGAAAATCCCAGAATCCCAGGAACTGTTACCATAAAACTAAAAATAAGATAGAAGGGAAAAAAAAAGAAAGAAAGAAAGAAAGAAATACAAAGTAACCCCAGAAAACAAAAATAAAAAAATAATTCACTTTTGGCTGCTTTTCACATATTTAATTTTTGAATAAAATAAATTCTTAGATATATTTAAGTGACTTTCTCTAAAATGGTTGAAAGCTATTGTCTTGAGGAGGCAAAAGATTTAAAATAAACTAGGTTAAATAATACCCTCTTATAAAGAACTTGCTTTCTTAAAGACAAAAACCTCACAAATCACTTTTCAACTATTTGGCTACGTTTATCATGCTCTCCCTATTCTACTGAAAGTTTAAGAAATAAATATTTGTTGAATGAATGTAAATGAACAACTCGATTCTAGTAGGAGTTACAAACAACAGAAATTCTCTACAGCAGATCAGGACGTTTATCCTGCATTATCCTCCCTGTCCATTCCCCCTGTGACCCAACTGATCTGCTTGATTCTATCGAAAACTTAGAAAATTAATAGAATCCTCTCTCATTCCCTCATTTCATCATTATTGGGAAGTAAATAAAATTTGTGGAGAAAGTTGTCACCTAAAAACATGTACACATGAGAACACACTTGGGCATGTGCTTGCACATAAACATCTCAAAAAGCTGCCATCTTTCACTCCAAATAGTCAAATGTCATAACATAGTGTCTATATGGGGTGAATGCTGCAGTACAGTGGGTTAGGCCACTCCTTGGGATGCCAGCATCACCTATCCATGCTGGTCCACTCCACCTCCAATCCACTTTCTAATTAATGCATTTGGTGGCTCAAGGACCAGGACCTTTGTCACCAACGTGACATGAGACATAGTTTCTGGCTCCCGGCTTCTGTCCAGCACAGCCCCAGTTGGGGACATTTGGGCATAAAATCAATGGATGAAATTTTTTCTCCCTCATTCCCTGTCATTTTGCCTTTCAAATAGATAAGTTAAACAAACAACAACAACAGAAAAAAACAAAAACAGACAGACCAGTACAGTAGCCTAGCAGCTTAAGCCAGAGCCTTGCATATGCAGGAAATCATATGAGTGCTGGTTCTAATCCCGACAGCCCCACTTCTCATCCTGCTTCCTGCTTGTGGTCTGGCAAAGTAATCAAGAACGGCCCAAAGCCTTGGGACCCTGCACCCATGTGGGAGACCAGAAAGAAACTCCTGCCTCCTGGCTTCAGATCAGCTCAGCTCCAGCCATTGGAACTACTTGGCTCCTGGCTCCTGCAGCCACTTGGTAAGTGAAACACCAGACAGAAGTTCCTTCTCTCTCTGTCTCTCCTCCTCTCTGTATATCTGACTTTCCAATAAAAAATAAGTAAATCTTTAAAACAACAGAAAAAAAGAGATAATATTTATTTACATTTGTAATAAAAAAAAAAAGGACTTCCACACTACTGAGTATTACTATTACGCCCTGGATAAGTGCGTCAAATATTTTCTTGCTTGAACCACATAGTGCTGAGGGTGTATCAACCTCATAGACACAAGGATGAAGAGAAGTGAACCTGTTCATTTAGCAAATATTTATCAATATCAAAAATACTTATCACGTACTAAGTACAGTGCCAGGAACTGAAGGAACACATATGAATGTACTCAGTTTTGCCTTCTGAGATTCATAGTAAAGTTACCAAATTAGGTCTCAAAACCAGACAGCTCTGACACCAAAGCCAACGTTTCAGACACATCACACTTGCAAGCATCTAGCACATTAATATTTTTCATTACATTCGGTTCATGTATTAAAAACAGTACAGCCTAACAACTCATTATTACTTTAACTAAGATTCAAAAAGACTTCCTTTAAGTGGCAATTTTACTAAAGATGACCATGATTTCCTTCCTATCTCTTCAAATGTTTCATTCGTTGCAAGCCTCCCCTTTGAGCTGCCAATAATACGCCACTAACTAGAATGAACAGAGTTGCATCAGGTTTATGAAAGAATACAGAAAGAAAAAAAAAACCCCAAGAATATGTAATACCTCAAGTCCTTAGGCTTCCTGTGATTCAGTCTGTCCTTGATTTGGAGTTACAAGGCAAATCCCTTTCCTTAAGCTACATTATAATGGGTTTTGTTCCTCATAACCAAACTGTTCGTGATCAAAACAATTCTTACCTAGGTTATTCTGTGATATGAAAACTGATCCTATATCCAGTTCTTTCAAATTGTTATCACTTGGGTCCAGTACAGTAGCCTAGTGGCTAAAGTCTTCATCTTGCACATGCCAGGATCCCATATGGGCACCGGTTCTAATCCCAGAAGCTCCACTTCCCATCCAGCTCCCTGCTCGTGGCCTGGGAAAGCAGTTAAGGATGGCTCAAAGCCTTGGGACCCTGCACCCACTTGGGAGACCAAGAAGAAGCTCCTGGCTTCAGAATTGGCTCAGCTCCAGCTACTGCAGCCAGCCGGGGAGTGACTCATTGGACAGAAGATTTTCTTCTCCGTCTCTCCTCCTCTCTATATATCTGACTTTCAAATAAAAATAAATCTTTTAAAAAAAAACTTATCACTTAAAAGTTGGGGGCCCCCCTTTTTAAATTTATTCATTTTCACTGGAAAAGTAGATCAGATTTACAAAGAGATGGAAAGACAGAGAAGGATCTTCCCTCTGCTGGTTCACTCCCCAAGTGGTCGCAACAGCTGGAGCCGATCTGAAGCCAGGAGCCTCCTCCAGGTCTCCTGTGAGGGCATAGGGTCCCAAGGTCTTATGCCAATCTCCAGTGCCCTCCCAGGCCTCAGGCAGGGAGCTGAATGTAAAGCAGGGCAGCTAGAACATGAACAGGTGCCCACCTGGGATTCCGGCACATTCAAGGTAAAGATTTCACCACTATGCCATTACACTGGGACCTTAAAACTATTTTTTACATGACTTTTCATTTATTAAAGCAATTCATTGAATCTTTTGCTAAATTTACAAGCAAAAGCTGATCTTCCATCCTGTTCCCAAGGAATGAATTAGTGAGATAGGCAAGTTTTCAAAATAATTGGAAAAGACCCATAGACACAGTCTTAGGGTAGCAGTCCCAAATGCATATCTTCTCAGATAACAGGCTTCTATTTAGTTCCTCAAAGATTAATCAGCATTATGTTGTTAAGGGAGGAAAGATTTCATAAACAAACTTGGAAAAAAAACAAGTAATTCTAAAAAACAAAAACAAACTCCATTATTCTTCAGTGTTTTATACACTAATGGACATCAGCGAGGAAGGAATGTAGTAAACAGCTTCCCCCAACCAGACACCCTACTGTCATTTCTCCTACACAGCGTTTGCATAAACCAAGGTTACATTAATTTGAGAAACCAGAGGAAAGTATTACTTCAACATAAATTGTTCAGTTTACTAAAAACACCACAGTTGTTTTTCCAACCAAACCAATTCGTTAATTTCTTAAACCTTTTTATTCACTTAAATCATACCATTCCCTTGCTTAGAAACCTATAATTTCCTTTCCCTAAAGCAGAGGTGACCAACTCTGGTTCTTGAATTACACAGATGACAAAAATTATTTACTTATTTGAAAGGCAGAATAAGAGAGCGAGAACCAGAGGTATCTCCAATCTGCTAGTTCACTCCCCAGGTGGCCACCATGACCCAGGTCTGGGCCAGGCTGAAGCTAGAAACCAGGAACTTCATCCTGGGTTGGCAGGGGCCCAACCGGCTCATCATCTATTTTTTCAGTTGCACAGGTTTACAAAGTGTGGCTTAACCCAGTAAGTCACAAGGCAAGAAACCCCTCCCCAAGCATACTTTAAACCAGAACAGGAGGAAATGCCCCCAAATTCAAAAGGGCACAATCATAGTCTTACAAAACTACAACTCTACAAAAAGGCTGCTATCATTTACCTCTGAGAACCAGCCTACCCATCTCTCACTTTGTCCCCTTCTCCCTTCAGCCTGAAAGCAGTCATAGGAATTTTGATTTGCTGACAATTTGCATAAACCTTGATGGAAAAATCAAAAACTAGAAAGGCAGTTCTATCAGCTTTGCACAAAGGAGCTAATACATATGAAACATAATTCTAGAATTCCAATGGGCTTTTTTCATCACCAACAGAAATCCTAAATAGGGGGAAAAGTCTTCACCTCATCCTACTGTATGGCTCATAACCACCTAGCCCAAAGAGAGCCCGACTCTCTTCACTTCATTACTCATCATAGTCTAACGATTCCCAAGAATCAGATAACCCCTCTGTTCCATTTCACCAGGGTCTCTGTATAGATCTGAAACATCTCTCTTATTGCTAGGAGTCTTTCAAGATTCACTTTATCCCATCTGATTTCCCTGGCTAATCGAAGTCTGTGAGGCTCCATGGTTCTCCGAATTTCCAATGACAATCCAGAGCATCTTAAAATCATACAAAAATAATTCCTCCGTATTCAACCTAGTAGCATCACTTTGAAAGCAAACAAAAGACAAGGCAAAAAAGTGAAAGTTTTCTTAAAGTACCGATAAAATTCTTTTATGCAAGAAAAGGGTCTGCTGTTCTTTGGACAACAGCCCCATCTTGTGGACGTCTAGGATACTGTCACTATCGTTCTGCTGTACTGTACTTCACAAGCACGCAGGCACATAAGTGGGGATCTTCAAAAATTTCAAGGAAGATATATTACAATAAACTTATGAATAGATTCAAAGCTTTCTGCGCCAAAATAAAGCTAACCGTTTAGCTATATCTTTCCACAAACTTTTGGCAGTGCCCTTGTATAATACACGCTGTATCCTTAGCTTATCAAAAACTACCTGGTTTTAAAAATCTCTGAAAATAGTATAAACTCAACCTAATATTGTCTCTGTAACAGCTTACTTATGTTTTTCTGTACTGTTTATCTTAGGGTAACCTCAAAATCTGAGTAGAAGTTAAATAATATGGCTACTGATTTTTTTTGGAAACTAATGAGAAACAAACCAGTGGAAAGGGACCACAGTTTTGAAAAAAATCATAAACAAGAGTTTTAGAAACTTTTACCCATCTATTAACAACATGTCTCTGAAAACACAATTAGTTACAAAGCCCCAGACTAGCCTCCTCCATTACCTTTTTGGAGCTGTACACAATGTGGCACAGTATGCATTTTCGTTCTCGTACCATAGTGACCAGATCCGAAGCACTCAACTTCACACCTGCAATGAGGAAGTGACATTCAGTGACCTGGTTGGGTAAGCGCTGGATTTTGAAAGAAGACCCAAAGGTTTTCTAGCTCCAACCTTTTTCTTGAGTCCCCCTGGTCCTAGACGCGCTACACAAGATTTTCAAACCATTACTACAGCCAGCACTGTTTCACCCTCTAGACAGCGACACCAGATTCTAACAGATACACCTGCTTTCTACACAGGGGATTTGGTTTATTCCTTGTGAGACCTCAAGGCTTTACATCGTGAGTTTCCGAGATACTCCGCTTTCATTTCTAACTCTTATACAAAACTGTAAAAGGACCAATGGATTCACTTCTGTGGTCACTCAGCAGTTGCCTGGCTACTGAAATTACATTTTAAATGATACTGATGGTTAAGATAATGTCACTCAATAATAAAGTTTAAAATGTTAGGAATATATAATAACAATTTGGACTGCTGAGAAAACTGAATGCCAATAAGCTACTAAAACAAGAGCTAACTTTACAGGGACAGTATTATATATGCTTTCAAGGATTACTAATAAAATCCTAGATCACAAAATTAACATAAAATCACTTTGGTGTTAAAATTTATAGCATATTTGCTTTTCTAATTCCTTTCATTTATTTATTTCTGAATTTCTGTATTTTGAGTTGATGATTAATAACTTGAAATTTTTTAAACATTTCTGATACTATCTTTCTAAGCTTTATTTATTTGGAAGGCAGAGTAATAAAGAGAGACAAGGAGGGAGGAAGAGGAAAGGGGAGGGAAGCAGTAAGAGAGAGCGCCAGAAAGTTAAGAGTGAGAGAGAGATCTCCATCAATTTATCTTCCATTTGCTGGTTCATTCCCCGAAAGATCACAATGGTTAGAGCTGGACCAGTGCAGATCCAGTGGCCTTCACTTTCTTATTAAAAAAAAAAAAATCAGCAAGTGTAACTGCTTGCAAAGTATTCAATTAAAACAGAACACTTAGTATATAAGTCCTAAGTGGATTCCAACCCAAAACGAACGAACTCCAATTTGCATGGCCATAAATTGCATAAATTAAAAAATTGCATTATGCGTTCCAGTAACAACTAAATGAGTTCAGTCTTTTCAAACGGGAAATAGTGCTCCCATTACAGGTCTTAACAGAGATTAGAAGTCAAGGAAATACCAAGCCTCTAACATCAGGGATCTCAACCAAGGTGACTAAGAGGTTACAGTCAAGTTGAGAAAGTCAACAAGCAATGCAAGGACTCCCACCCTCACCGTCACCGGGCTGCCTTCATACCCATTCTTAACATTGACTAAGAAATCTTGCAACTTTCCTCCAAATTGTGAAAAACAACAGTTGTTTTCTTGAACCCAATATTCTAAAAATCCTACAAAATTATGTTCTCAATGTCCTAATTACCGTCTTCCCTAGGTTAACATCATGTCGTGTCTTATTCTTTTCTTCCACAGGCTCATGCTAAGTCAGCAAGTCCTGGCAGCACTGTCATTGTGACTCCACTCTCCAGTGTGACAAGCATGCATGACTTTACATCTGCTCAGTCTTCGTCCAACAGCTTTACTCTCATTTCCTGCCTTGACTCTGACCTCCAATATATAAAAAAAACCTTAAATCCAGACTGGCTTATCAATCAACAGGGAACAGCGGCAGGCAGGCAAAGTGCAGCCACCGCGTTGGGATCTCCAGACACCATCCCGTGCTTCAGTACAGTCTTCCTGGGCTCACATCTCGGATGTCGCTCAAACCTGGCAGCAACAGAGTTCCAAGTCACCACTATTTCATGGCACTTGTAGTCCATCTGGAACATCAACGACTATTTTCCAAACATTTATTATGCAACTAAAGGCTTAAAAATACCTTTTGGTGTCACAGAATTGTACCTGAAACACTACCACACTATCACACTCTACTGTTAAGACCTACAAAATAAGTAAAAACAGGCTAGTTAATGGTAAGTAACTATATGTGATTCCCCTAACCTTACTCTAAGGAAAGGATCTGTCACTTTGCATATTATATCTCAATTCAGTATCTCAGGGGTTCATACAAAATTTAAACTTTGACCAATGCAGAGTGTCAAACACTGAAAAACAAAGGCTAATTATTGGTCTGGTGGAGGTTGTTGGAGGCTGGGGGAGGAGATGTCGGGGAGTGTTACCTGGGTTTGAATTCCACTGTATATGCCTCCATCTTAAAAGGCGACAGAAAATTTAAATTTTTCTGGTGAGCAGGACAGGACAACAGGGAGACAGGGTTCTGACAGGTGCTGTCTGTGCCCTTACGCTGCAGACAGGCTGAGAAACAAAAAGAAGACCTACAGTTGTGGGAGGCCTTCACTTGCTGGAGTCAGCCTGATCATGAAACGTCAAGACTCCTAGCTAAGGGAAAACTTGACCAAAGCGTTAGGAAGTAGTTCTGAGATTAGCTCAAACCCAGAACTTCAAAGGCTTATTCTTGGTTAGCTCCCATACCTGCTGTTGCTGCTTTTTTTTTCTTTTGTTTTTTATTGAAAAGCTTATTTATAGAGAGGAGAGACGGAGAAAAAGATCTTTCATCTGTTGCTTCACTCTGCAAGTGGCCACAATGGCCAACACTGAGCTGATCAGAACCCAGGAGCCAGAAGCTTCCTCCAGGGCTCTCACATGGGTTCAGGGTGCCAAGGGTTTAGGACATCCTCTGCTATTTTCACAGGCCATAAGCAGGGAGCTGAATGGCAAGTGGAGGAGCGAGGACAAGAACCCACGTGCATATCGGAACCTGGCGCATGCAAGATGAGGATTTAGCCACTAGGCCATCACACCGTGTTCCCGCACCTGCTACTACTACAACGGCAGATTCCTCCCTCCAAAGGCAAGTGACTAAGGGTTTCCAGAATCTAGCATCTTTGAAGGTAAATTTATAGGCATTTTACTCACGAAAATTTGCCCCCCCCCCGTAATCTCCAGCAAGATTGTGTGTACCATCCACTCCACAGCAAGACAATTACCAACCACCCTATAGCCAGCACAGGACCACAAGCAAACAGGAAGTTCAGGATGTGACTCAGGAAAGGGCATTCCTGATATAACAGAAACCCAGCCTCCTGAGACAAGAAAATGTGGTAGAACAGCTCAGAATGAACAAGCATCAGGTTCCAATTATTTACTCAGTTACAGAACCTGGCCAAGTAGTATGCCCTACAGAGAAAGATAACCTGGAAAGAGGCTGGAGTAATAGCGACCCTAACCAATAGAAGCATTAGAAAATAAAGGGGCCCAGTGACGTGGCCTAGCAAGCTAAAGCCCTCACCCAGAGCATGCCCGGGATCCCATATGGGCACCGGTTCTAATCCCGGCAGCTCCACTTCCAGTCCAGCTCCCTGCTCGTGGCCTGGGAGAGCAGTCGAGGACGGCCCAAAGCCTTGGGACCCTGCACCCGCGTGGGAGACCCAGAAGAGGTTCCTGGTTCCCAGCTTCGGATACGCGCAGTACCAGCCATTGTGGTCACTTGGGGAGTGAATCATCGGACAGAACATCTTCCTCTGTCTCTCCTCCTCTCTGTATATCTGACTTTGTAATAAAAATAAATAAATCCTTAAAAAAAAAAAAGATAAGAAAGGAGCTGGCACGGTAGCCTAGCGGCTAGTCCTTGCTTCATACACACTGGGATCCCATATGGGCATTGCTTCTAATCCCAACAGCCCTGCTTCCCATCCAACTTCTGCTTTGTCTAGGAAAGTCATGGAGGACGGCCCAAAGCCTTGGGACCCTACACCCACATGGGAGATCCAGAGGAAGCTCCTGGCTCTGGGTATCAGATTGGCTCAGCTCTGGCCGTTTGTGGCCAACTGGGGAGTGAATCAACAAATGGAAGATTTTTCTGTCCCTCCTTTTCTCTGAAAATCTGCCTTTCAGGTTAAAAACAAATCTTTAAAAAGAGGGAGAGAATGTTGGAGTTTACACAAAGCTCCAGTCTATCTTTGTAAAAACCAATAATCACACATTACAAAAAACATACTAAGCCAAAATGTGTTCAAGAAGGGTGAGCACTGGGCACAGCAGTTAGGAACCCAGCTGGGATGCCCACACCCCATGTCACAGTGCCTGGGTTGGAGTCTACTCCAATTCCAGCTTAGTCCTAATACACACACGTCAGACATCAAAATTTGTAACTATTATGTCTTCCTGATGAATCGATCCTTTTTTTTAAAGATTTATTTTTATTATTATCATTTTTTTATTGGAAAGGCGGATAGACAGAGAGGAGAGACAAAGAGAAAGATCTTCTGTCCGATGATTCACTCTCCAAGTGAGTGCAACAGCCAGAGCTATGCCGATCCGAAGCCAGGAGCCTCTTCTGGGTCTCCCATGCGGGTACAGGGTCCCAAAGCCTTGGGCCGTCCTTGACTGCTTTCCCGGGCCACAGGCAGGGAGCTGGATGGGAAGCGGGGCTGGCAGGATAGAACTGGCGCCCATATGGGATCCCGGGCGTGCAAGGCGAAGACTTTAACCACTTGTGCCACCGCGCTGTGCCCTGAATCGATCCTTTTATCATTGGGAAATGAACCCTTTAGCAATATTCTTTATCTTGAAGTCTACTTTATATGATACAAATGGAGCCATTCCACCCTTTTTGCACTGTTTGCATGGCATAATTCTCCAGTGCATTAATTTAAGCCATCTGTCTATACATTAAAAGAGCTTTATCTGTATAGGAGATCTTTATTGCAACTAGGTTGCTCTCCTGGAGGGCTACAACAACCAGAGCTGCACTGGGCCAATCAGGAGCCATGAGCTCCAGCCAGGTGTCCCTAACCAGTTGCAGGAATCCAAGTACTTTCCTGGAAATTAGCAGCAAGCCAAATTTGAAGCAGAGCAGTCAGCAATCCAGATAGCAGTGTATACAAGTGGGAGAGATGGCTCAAGTACTTGAATCCTTTCACCCATATGGAAGAGCCAGATGAAGTTCCTGGCTTTATCCTGGCCTATCCTTGGCTGTTGCAGGCATTTGGAGAATCAAAACGCAAA